TGAAAATATCAATTCCAGAAGTTGCTCTGCAGTGTACCTTTAAATAACAGCTTTGGGATTTGTTCATACAGCTTTCTCATACGTGCTTTCTCCTTTTTTCTCTTGAAGGTTGTATTGGAAACAGAAATCACAAATAAGTCTGCTTTGAAACTTTATGAAAACCTTGGGTTTGTGCGAGACAAGAGGCTGTTCAGATACTATTTAAATGGAGTTGATGCACTGCGTCTTAAACTATGGCTGCGTTAAAAGAATCCATCACATCAAGCAACTGACGTCCCAACAGCGCAGAGTTGTCCTTTGCATGCAATGCAATTTGTACAAAATTGCTTTGCAGGTGGACTTAGTAATTTCCATGCAGCTCTTATCTGTCAGTGTCTCATTTTGAGTGTCGCACATATTTGTTGCACTTTGGCATGGCGCATTTGTTCCGAATTAAAGCCGATTGTTTCAAACTTCGAGTTCTTTTGGTACCAGCAAGATGTGCCAGTTGATAGCCAAGATAGGTTCGTTCATTTGCAAGTCTACTGACTGTATTACATACACAGTGAACATTTTATTGAAGAACCTGTTATGTGGAACACAGCTTTTGGTTCCCGAAAAGAAAAAAAAAAGCCAATGTAGATTGTAAAATTCTATAAGTATACTAACATTTCATACAAAAAAAAAAAAAAAAAAAAAATTGCCATAGTTTTCTGGAAAAAGGCTTCAATTTTAGGTTTTATTTTTCAATATTGAATTTTCCATTCTTAAATATTGGTACCTCAGTGATTAGTGAATGAAAAAATGTATTGTAGGGTGGGGTGTGTGTTACAATGAGTAACAGTAACAATTAAATTGCGTCTGCCAGTGCCTGTATAGATAAGTATATTTGTCTTCACCTCTTAAGTTTGGAGTGCATGCTTTTATTCTTTTACTTTCTTCAATTGTCTCTGCAAGAAAAAATTCTGCTTTTATTTAAATTCTGGATTTGATAATAAATTATTTCAGATTTTTATGATTTGGATACTTCTCCCAAACGAGGGTTTGGAAGGCCCTTCTTTTCTTATAGCAGGAAGTGTAAGCTATTTTGAAATCCTTGAGTAGCTGCTAAAAGAGAACCTGATGTTGCCAGTGAATCTCTGCTGGTTTTGGATGCACTTTTTTCTTTAAAAGAGTGAGGGACTTTTAAAAGAAGATATAGAAAATTAATGTAAATTGGTATGATTTTATTTAATCAAAATTATCACTAGAAGCTCTGAGAAACAGCTATTTTAAAATAGTTTGAATTTTTTTTTTTTTTTTTTTTTTTTTCAGATTGCTTTGCTTCAGTGTTCTAAAATGCTTCAATCTTTGGTTCTTGGTCTTGGAAATAAATTTCAAGGTGTATTGTATCCATTTTTAGCTGCTCTCATTTTCTCTAAACTTACATGAGCTAAATTATTGGGGGATTTTTTTTTTTCCTTCCAAAATCGAAGCGATGGGGAGGAGATTTCTCTTCCTCTTCCTCCTCTTCCTCTCTCACTTTCTGTCTCAATTGGGCTTACATAGGTTTTAACAATACCCATCAATCTGTTCAGTAATACAGTGTCTAGGCTTTCTTGTTCAGCGTGGCTATATGGCTCAGTTCTATGAATTGGTTGGTTGGGATTTTTATTTTTATTTTATTTTTCCTCCACTTCAAAAAAAAAAAAAAAAAAAAGTATTAGTTGACTTCTGGAAGAGTCTGCAGGGGAGAAGAGGGGGGAAGGATGAGCTCTCAGTGAATCTGCTCTTTGGTAGTTAAGCGTACTCTTCAGATTTGCCTTACACTTATTTTTTTCTTTAGGGTTTGGTTTGAGTCTTTTTTTGTTGATGTTTTGTTTATGTTAATTACTGTACATTTAAAGAAAAGGAAAAAAAAAAAACAGAAACAAAAAAAAACCCCTACCTCCATTAACATGTGGAAAAGATCCCTGTGCAGGAAAACTGGATTTAAAGGAAAGCCTTATTTTGCGCAGACCGATCGCAAATGGTGATGGGCATTTCTTACCAAGTACAAAAGATGAGTTGTGTTTGAAAATGAAGACTTTTAGTAGAAATTGGCCCTTCTGAGTTTTCTGCCTGGAAACACTGTGTTTCTGAGAGGGTTTGTTTCCCCTCAGTAAGGAAAACTCGCTTAAAATGGTGCCTGAATTAGTGCTGTGAACTGGAATCTTATTTGCAGAGTTCAGAGCTAAACCTTCTGTTCAAATTTTCCTACCCCCTCTGGTTTGCCAGTTATTTAGAGCAGTTCTTCAGGAGGTGAAGGCTAAAGTGTTGGGAATGCTGAATTGATGGAAACAGGCTTTTCCCAGATGTATTCAAGTTGTCTGGAAAGTAATGCCTGCTCTGGCTTGCTTGAACTAAGGAGGCAGATAAGAGAAGCTTCGTTCCTTGTTAGCAGCTGCTGGGCTGCAAACTGCACAGTAGGCTATCTTGTGTGCCTGCTGATGTTTAAAAACTGAAAAGCCAGACAAGCAAGTTTTCTGGAGGTTAATATTTAAGCTGTGGGTGTCTTGAGTTTGAGAGCAGACTTGAAACTTAGCCTACGTCACTTTTTGTGAAGGTACTGCCGAAAAATACCAGCACTGCTGAGCAAACTTCAGATGCAGCTCTGTTTATTGTAAGAAGTAATTCATTCTTACCATGCCATCTTTGAAAACGCTGCGCAAGATAGGTGTGTGTTTCTTTTCAAAGAGCACATTGCCTGAAAGGTTCTCATTTTGCTGCTGTGTAACACACAGTTCACTACGGAAGAGACTGAAGCTGTATGCGTTGGCTTACGTTAAATGGAACAGATTTATTCTCTGTGTTGCTTGGAATTGGATCTCAAGTGGGAAGTCAAGAATTGCAGAGAGGTGAACACAGATGTTCAAAACGAATTTAGCAAAAAGGAGCTTGGTTATTTCTCGTGTCTGTTGTTAAAACACAGTTCCACTCCTCCTCACCTTTTGCATTGACAAATCTAGCTAAGGAGTTGTTATTTAGATTTGCCCGAACACTGCTATTTGCTGACATGTCAGGTATGGATGTTTGCGTTATGTTGGGTTTCTTTTTTTGTTTTGTTTTGTTTTGTTTTGCTTTTTTTATAAGGAAATGATCGGGTTCATCACCTACAAGAAAAGCAGGCATAGTCTAATTGGCATTGCATAGTGAATCACAAACTTTTCCAGGGCACTACAAGGCATTGCTCAAACCGAGTGCTTTGTTCAAAATGTTCAGGTCTTGTATAAGCATTGCAACCTGTATTGGAGTTTAGGTATCAGAGGGGCATCTATGGAAATGTCAAGTGTATCTCCAAATCCTGGACTGCTGTTTTGAGTGGATTATATTCTTCTGTCCCTTTATCCTTTTTGATGAGAACAAAAACAGTGGGGTTATGAAATGTACAAGCTGTCTAAATACAATGCAGTCAAATAAATGGTTAAGTTGTTTATCTATTTCCTTTTGGATGGAAATGTTCGTATGGTTGTTTTGCTCTGTCTACAAAACAGTGAATGTGCAGTGCCTGTATGAATTTCAGTTTCATAGCTGAACTGATGCTTTTGCATGTGTGCCAAGTTATGGTGAATATCACTGGACTTTTCCTGAGAGATAGGAGTGGTTTTATTATTATTTGAATTGTAACAAGCGGGAGTTGGGAATTGCTTGCAACTCTTGCAGAGATGAAAACAGGCTCTTAGAAATGCATTGGGAAGCCTATGGGTTTTGGAAGTCTCCTCTCTTTTATTCCCTCTGCAGTTGCACTGAGGTTCCTAAAACTTGCCAAGAACTCAGCAGCAAGTGTTGCACGTGTTTGGCCTCTGCTGGAAATTGCTGCTCACCTGGCAGCAGCCCCAGGTCTGTTCTTTCAGCTGCTTTCCTGATTCCTTACAACTCAGCTACCTGGTCACTACAGTTTTGTTATGGAGCTACACTTTCACAGATGTTTTACTACTTTTCCATTTCTTACTCTGTGCAAGAAGCAGGTTACATTGTTTTCCTATGTCTTGCACCACAGTGTATTTTTAGGCCTAGTACATCTAGTTAGTCCATGTGGGCTAGAGTAGACCTGGAGAAGCCTAATATTGATTTCAGTGTGAAAAAATAAGAAGTACTTTTCTAACAGGCAATCCAGGCAGGGCTGGCTGGGTGATATTTTTAGGAATGAATGTTTTATGTTTTATTGCCCACTCGTGCACACTTTGGAAATCTTTGATTTCTTTAAAAATAGAGTGCAGAGGGATCCTGACCCATGAGTCATACAGGGAAAAGGGGAACGTTCTCAGTGCATGCATGTTTGTGGTGAGGATGCTGAGGCTCTCTTCTTCCTATTGATATCTGATTCCCTGTGGGGAAGGCAGAGCTGTGACTACATTTTGCTCTTGATTATTGCTCTTCATTGTAAGGCTCAAGGGTAAGGTAAAAACAAGCAGTAATTCAAAGGGGTTTAGAATAGACGAGGTATTGATCTTTTAAACTTGCTGTCCTCTGCAGGACAGTTCTCCTTCAGCAAAGCGTGCCTGAGCCCTCTTCACAGGAAGATGGAAATGGATGCTGGCAGCTTCTGTGTATTCAAGGGGAGGCTTCTTTAGATGATGCCTTGTTAGATGATTACTGGTTCTTACACCTTGCTAGGATTGCAGTTGTGTTGATCCATTGCTGGGGTACACGTGTTTTCCTCCTTCACTGAACATCTGCTCTCACTTAGAAAGCACAGCTAAGGAGAAGAAATGTCCCTTCTGTCTCACTGCCAGCAATTCCTATTGATCTTTCTTCAGCTACGATAGGAAAAAGGTCAAATCCAACTTATGATTTATAGTCTGCACAGTCCTCTGCCAGAGCTCAGTTCACTGTGTGCTTTTCTTATAGCTGTTTCTGTTACCTTAGACCCGTAGGGCCTTGATTTCAGGTAATTATGAGTAAGAAATAAGAGGTTTTCCTGGTCTGAAAAGACATGAGTAGAAGGAAAAAAAAAAAACATACTGAAAGGTTGTAATTAATTTTTTTTTTTTTTTTTTTTTTAATTTTTGAAAATATAAAAATATTTTTAGGTTCCTAGGGGATAAAAACAGAAAACAACAACAAAAAAACAACCCAACCTCTCAGATTTTGTGTAATTTTTAAACAGGGATGGAGAAGGGAGTGATTCTCTGAGGTTTTAGCCATTGTCTTACAGGTTGCTGAAACATGTAATTTGGAGATACGAGTTTAAATTCGACTTCTGCACTGACTAGAAGCTCTATCCCAGACCTAGGACATTTTCTGGCAACCCAAAGGCGATTGATAGTACTGTACAAAATATTTCTTGAGCTCTGTGGATACTTTTCCTTTTATTGTGTATATAACACGGCAGACTATGACAGATTCCAGTTCCTTGTTTTGGTCTGTAGTAAGGTGTGAACCACGAAGGAAAGCAGCAGAAGAGCTACACTACCAGGTGTGAAAGAGCATTGAAAGTGAAGGTTGAAAAAGCAAATGGTGGAGCAGCTTTGCCGAGGTAAGAAAGCTGTATGCAAAGCTCACATTACTACTGAAGGAGGGGACCAGAACTCTGTTAGCACTCCCACGTGGGTCTTAAGAAACACGCTGTCTGTCCATGTCAATCCACTCCTCTCCATGAGTAATTTGGAGCAGACAGCTAATTGAATGCTCTCATATTGCCACGGCTCTTTCCCTAGGGGTGGATGCACTCAGGAAGACTCTTAGTCTAAGTCAGAATTAGTCTTTAATATCAGAAAGAACAAACAAATGAACCCTCTGAGTTTGATGCGTTTGATGAAAATAGTTGATGTGCCATTTCTGAATTGAGCTGAGTGTGCTTCAGCCTCATTGAGTCGAAGCATAAGGGCCTGCTGGAGGAGCTAATTAGAGTGAGAAGAAAACCAGCTGCTTTTCAGCCAAATTAAGGGTGCCCTTCTTTCTCCACTCAGCTGCGGATCCTGCAGCTTTCCCAGCAATGAATGGCAGTTTCAGGTGTGTAAAGCTGCCTTTTGTCTAATTAAAGACCTGCACCACTCATGGTTAATGCTCTTGTTTAATGACAGAGTTTGCCAGAAAATGTATCTTCCTGTTTTGGGCAGAATTGAGCCAGAAGCCTTTAGGTTGCCTTAGGTCTGAAGCCTTTCAGAGGGCTGGCACATAGTGTGTTTCTGCAGTGTTGAGAGCAGGAGACCTGGACCAGTATGCAATTGTAAATAACCTCCAAAAAGTAAATACACAGCTCACTCTGCAAGTAATGCCTCCTGTTTATTTCCATGGGAACGGCAGCAGCTACGAAGAGCACAATAACACTAATTGATAAAGCAAATTCTCAGCAACAGAACGTGATGGAATGTTGGTGGGAATGTTCAACATCCTCTGCCATCCCACCAACACATAATGGGCTGACGTAACAAGATAGGAGGCATTGCTTTCGGAGCAGCCTTCATACATTGGAAAGCAACGCACGCTGCAAATGGCAGGGTTCTGTTCTGCAAATTGCAGAGATTTCTATCGTGCTGTTTGAAAGTGACATTCAAAGAATTGCTCTCTTGGGGCTGGAAAAGAAGTTCTTCATTACAGAAAGCAGGGCTGGCTATGATTAAAAAAAGAAAGTGTTCTCCTTGGGGGTTTTTTGTTTTATTGAAGTGAAAATTGAAGAGCTGGCAATTTCCAGACTGTCCAACCAACAACGGCCTGAACGGTTTCATGTGTAAGTTAACAAATGGAACATATAGAATGCATCTACATAAATATGTTACTTTGCCTCTTAAGAGACTGCATCAATGGCTGCTATATGCTCAATCTTCAATACATCACTGAGATATACCAAAACCACGGTTACTGAAATTCCCCTGTTTATCACAGGGCAGTCACACTACAGATGACCTTAATGGTTCCTTCCAACTCAAATGATTTTATGATCCTATGAGATGTGAAACATCCATGTTTTGGCTGCTTCCATGTGGGAACAGCTTTTATATCTCTCAGCAGGAATTCTGTAGTTGTTCTGTGATAGTTTGGCAGCAATCTGTGCTTTCTTGGAACGACCTTTGGAAGAACAGTGCACTGGAAACCTTTCCAGTATCACAATCCCTACAGCCACCTACAGAAAGAACCCATTTTTCCCCCTTGGAAGTGGCTCCTTGTATCTCACCAGCTGAAGACCTCAGTAAGTACAAACATGGAAATACAACTTACTTACATCACAGGTTTGGGAATGTATTTTAGAGCATCATTCCTCAGCTCCATCCTTCTTCCTGTTCTGTCTGAGCTTTGCAAACTTTTTGTTTTCAACCTGTCCTGGTATTGAAGGAATGAGTCACCGTAAGGAAGCTTTCTTTGGCAAACAATTCCCAGGGAACCTCAAATTTCTTCAAGCTGTGAGCTTCTGGCCCTTAAAAGCTTATTTTTAAGGTTTCTTTTTAATTATTTCCAACCTCAAAAATATCTTCTGTTAGCAGGGCTGTTTTATGGATATGCTTCTAAGGCGTTCACCTGTTAGCTCATGGTGCTTTTGGAAGCCCTTCCTGGTGCTACAGAGAGGCAGTGCTGCTGGAGATGGGGCAGTCATGGCTGTCATCCCACCTGAACACCATGAAGAGTCCCATGCTGTCATCATGTTCTGGTGCACAGGGGTTACCTGGCTGTCATGCAGGCATGAGATGCCTGATGTGCCATGGGTGTGCATCCTTAGGACATTTGCAATTTTCATCCTCTGTGCAGCAAAGAAAGGCTTTCCCTAGTATTATTCTACTTGGAACACAAGGTCATAGAATCACAGAATAACCTGAACTGCTCACCCAAATCCAACTCTGTATCTGAGAGCACTGTCTCAGAGCTCCCTGAGCCCCAGCAGCTCAGGGCCATGCCCACTGCCCACTGAGGCAGAGCCTTTCTCTACTGCCCAACCTGAGATCACGTGCTGGTGGAGGAAACGCATAAGAACAGCAGTTTGTAAGCTATCCTTTATCTGTGCTTGGTTATTACAGGAGCATGATCTCATGGACTTGCCCCAGGGCAGGTTTTGCTGCGGACTTCCTGCAGGAGCAGGGATTAATCTTCTAATCTGGTTCTGACACAGAGGAAAGAGCTTCTGCCTTCACTGGCTTGAGAGCTGGACTGCCTCACTACGCTAAACAGAAACCAAATCCTTCTTTATAATTAGTACTTCGGGAGGAAATGGTAAGCTGCAGTAAGTTACAGTATGCTGCAGATGTGTGGTGAGGGCACTGGAGGAGGTGGGGAATAGCATTGGTTTCAAAGAACAGCAGGAAAATGGAAAGCAAAGGGGAAAAAAAGGAGCATTGTGTTTTTTTCAGCATCCATGTTTATATCAGGTGTAGATAAATCAGATCCTCTTAATGGAAAGTCAGATCTTAATTAGAAATCTGCCACTTTCCTACCACGTTTGGCAAGCTGAATTTCCTGTCCAAAATTCTCACATCTCCATGCTGCCCTAGCCTAGCCCTGCTCCTCCATGTGCACAAGTGTTTAAGCAGTGAATAAAAGCCAGAAGAACCTCCTGTAAACGTGAGGCTTTGCATGATTTAAACGCTGCCTACTTTTCCCCAGACCAGCCCAACTTGCTTAGAAATGGATAGATTTAAGTTGGAGGCTAAGGGAAAACTGAAGCTTGCAGAAACAGCACTGTGCTTGATGTGCAGAGTTTTCCCACTGCTGTGTGACCATTTGGCTCACAGCAGATGTGCAAGTGAGTGAACCTTCTCATAGAATGGTGTAGGTTGAAAGGGACCTTAAAGACCATCCTGTTCCAACCACCTTCCATGGCCTGGGTACCCCCCCACCAGATCACACTGCTCAGGGCCCCCATCCGTGGCTTTGAGGATGGAGCACCCACAGCTTCACTCAAGTGTTTGCTCTGAATTCACAGAGTTCTCAGAAATGTCAATGCATGGACCCCCTGCAAAGAATTTCTCCTTCCGAGAGACTTCTTAAGAAGAGTAGCAGCAGATTTAGCCTCATATTAAACCCAGACACCTTACAAAGGCAAAACTCACCACAGCTCAAGCTTTACCCCTTGTGAAAGGTTCTGTACATCTTCCAAGTTAACTCACAGCTGGCTCTGGCAGTGGCTGAAGCATGGGGCAAGGGTCTAATACTGTATTTTCAGGCACCAGAGACTTCACAGGAGGGAATTTCACGGGTTATTTCAGTGCCCACCACAGCCCCTGCCCGATGTGCACAAGACCTAGGCCTGCTGTGGTCCCCTCAGGTGGTTTAAGCAGATGGATAGATGTTATTGTGTTGAAGAGCATGGAGTTAATCACAGCTGACAAATCCTTCTTGGTAAAAAGCATTAGGCTCTAAGACCCCACCTGGAGGGCTGTACCTAGCTCTGGAACCCAGTGTAAGGCTGTCATGGAGCCGTTGGAGCAGGTCTGGAGGAGCTTTTTAGTGGCCTTTCCAACCTTACTGATTCCATGAGGCACCTTGAAAGAACCTTGAGCACAAGCTCTTGTACCTCTGGAAAACCACCTTAGGAAAAAAGACATGGCTATAAACGAGCAAGGACCTTCAGCTGCTAAGCCTTTAGGAAATGTTACACTGCAGCAAGAGATGCTACAGCTGTGTAGTCTTGACAGAAGTGAATAACATAAACCACTGTCACCTGGATGGATGGGGACAAAAAGCACCCACACCATCCTGTGGTTCCTTCAAACCAGGCTCCATATTCCAGCACATGTAGTCCAAGATCTCCATCTATCTGCAAAGAAAGTCCATGTTTCATGCTGACAGATTTAACTGCATGGGTCATGTTCTTGCATCTCCAGGTCTTTGTCACTCACTGCCATTTGGAAGCAGAGATGTTTCTCCTCGAGGTCATGAGCTTTGTGTGCATTTGTCAGCTCACTGAAGCAAAACCTCTCGCTGAAGCAGGAAGGCAGCAGTGCTTTCTGCACTGTGAGAAGTACAAAATATTGTTGGCAGTTCTTTGTTTCGCATTTCTTTTTGGGAGCTTTTTGCTTGTCTCTCAAAGAAACGTCATCTTTCCTGGTCAGTCCTTTGAAACGCCACATGGATGGCTAAGTGCAGGAAGCATCCAGTCTCAGAGCATGCTTTGCGTGCTAATCAGTGAAAGCACTGCTGAACCATATTATGCTGGAACATCAAAACAGGCCATTAGGAAGCAGCTGGGAGAGACCTTATTGAAACCACTGGCTGGCACAGGAGGCAGCTATGAGTGGGAGACACAGCAGAGCAATGCTGGGGCCTCGAGTTGGCAATATCCTCTGCTGAAGGGGTTCTAACTTCAGGAATGCTGCTTTAAAAGCATTTCATTGATTTTCAATACAACAGAAGCCATCTGAATAAAAGAACTTTGGAATGTTGAGACAAATTTTATAACAGCCTCCTCTTTGATTTTGTGAAACTTCTGCAAAAAGAGCTTCGAAAATAGCTTCTGAAGACCATCGGTGCCATGAAACCCACAGGCAAAGGGCTTCATTGAAAGGCTGAAGTAGCAAATAAACAGGTTGGATTCCCATAGCAAGGTGTTTCTCAAAAAAGAGCCTGAGCCTGGACACATTTGGCATTAGAGTAAAGATTTCCTTGCAGGGTTTTGTTGGCACAGATTCAGTCCCTGATGCAGATCTTGGTGCCCCTCTCTGGTTCTGTGAGCACAAAGGCAGGGCTCACAGTTCTTAACAGCAACATCAGTTACAAAATCAGAGCACTCAGAAGCTGGAAAGAGTTGAAGCTGCATTCACTTTAACTGTTTCCTCATCATCGTAATTACTTACATGGCTTTTTTTGGACTATAAATAAAAGCTTTTTCTATCTCTGCAGCTTCCTAATTCCAGACACTGAACATTCTTCTCTGTATATATTGAAACATGTAATTATTTTTTTCTTCTGATGCAGATGAAGTCCAGGTTTCTGTAATTGGAATACACAGATCATAAAACTCACCAGTGGGTTGAGTCAGTGGCATGGAAATAGTCAGTATGCTGGTGTTATGTGCAGCTGGACATCCACCTTCCCATGGTAAGTGAAGATGCACCATGCTGGTTGTGCCTAACTCCATCATTCCCCCATCCAGAAGTGACACCCCTACAGAGAGGGGACCTTGGTAGGATGGGTCCCTGCCATGGTCAAGATGTAGGAACGGTTGGAAAGGCAGCAGCTCCTTGTCAAAAACATTGCTGTGGGTAGTAATCAAGTATCATCATCATTTCAAAGATGAAGTTGAAGGAGAAAATAAATAAATGAGAGCAGAGCAATGTAGCATGCCCAAGGCACCAGGAAGAAGTGGTTATCAACACCAGGAGTAGTAGCAGTTTTGTTCCCTGCCTGTTTTCAAAAGGAGAGGGAAAAGGGCACTGGGGCGCACACACAGCCTCAGTGGTGGCTGTGACGTGAGCTCCTGGTGTCCATGTGGATGGAGAGATGGGGAGCTGCACTTAAGGGTTTTTTTTTTAAAGACAGAAGAGCACTGTGAGGCAAATCTGCTCCAGTGAGAAGCCTCACAAGGGAGGCTCTGTGTGGCAAAAGGCTGTATTTTTAGGTCAGCTTGGCCAAGCTGAATGAGGAGGTTTGTGTGGTAAATAGAAGGGGTGCCTGGCTTTGAAGCTCACTGTTTTCACAGTACAGAAGTCAGTTGTAAGCCACATTGATTATTCTAGGGTGGCAGTTGCAACAAGGATCAAATGGTGACCAGATAGAGGCAGGTAGCTGGCCACACAAGTTCAGTGAGACCACAAAACTAGCAGTGCTCTGCTTTGCTTTTCTCCCAGAAGAGTTGTGAGCCAGCATTTTAAGCAAGTTCTGAGTTAATGCAGTCTGTTCAGTCGTTATCAGCAACATCATATGCTGCATACAGCCTGATTTGATTAAAAGGGTCATTTGTCATACTACCAGCTACTAAATGCCAGCACAGGTAACTTTGTGTCTCAGAATGACTACACAGGAACAGGGAATTCAAGGCTGGATCAGCAGCGTGGCAGTTTTAGTCTATCCCATGACTTAAGATGCACGTCAGCAAACCACAGTGCTGATGGAAGCTAAGAAGAACAAAAGCTGAAATGAATGAATGAAAGCCCCATTCCTGGAGGCATTCAAGGCCGGGCTGGATGTGGCTCTGGGCAGCCTGGTTCTAGTGGTTGGTGACCCTGCCCACATTAGGGGGTTTGAAAGTAGATCAAATTTGAGGTCCTTTTCAACCCAGGCCATTTCTATGAACAGACAAAAAATGAGAGAAGCTCTGAGTAGATTAAGGGGGGTCCCCAGAACCAACACAAATTGGGACACTTCATTTACACTAAGAGTCACGGGGAGGCCAAGGATGACCATGCTGGATAAGCGCAGAGAGGACTCAGCTGAGCTGAGCTTTGTCAAACTGCATGAGAGAACAAGAGCCACAACAGAACTGCCCACAGAGATGACACATCATCGAGCATCTCCAGAAAAAGACAACAAAAAGCACTCTTGGCTGTCTCACAAGTTTTGAAATTCACTCTGAGCAATGAGTCAGCACTTTCAGCATCGTGTGTTGCTTAAAGCATCAGCAGAGGATTTAAGTGGAGCTTAAGCAACACTCAGGATCCTGCAGAGAGCTTCTGTCCACCAGTAAGGAGGAAGATGCCTTGGGCAAGGGCCAAAGTCAGCAGAGACTTTAGGAGTAGGTGGAAGGGGAAAAAGTAGAGAAGAATGTAGAATGGGGGAAGAGATAAAAGGAGAAGAAGCCAAATGGAATGTCAGATTTCTCCCATGGTGCTGCTCTTTGGAAGGAAGCAGTAAGAAGTACTCAAGGTATGGGATGAGGAGAGAATTATCCTGAAATCACAGAATGTCCCGAATTCAAAGAGATCCACTGGGATCTTCAGCTCCTACATAGCAAGGAACAACTGATCAAATGCATCCTGCTCTCCCATCTGTGTGCCAAGGGAGGTACCTGCTCTCTCTTTCATTCTTGTGGACTGCTCAGCAGATGCTGACTGCACAATCAGACTTTATGCAGGGAACTGCAGGACGAGCCATTCCCACAGCACGTCAGTAGGTGGCAAAAAGCTACAACCCTATTGCTAAGCAAGGAATAAATGCTTGTTCTCTCACAGAACAGGAGGGATCTGTGAGCAGCTCAATCCCATCAGAGATCATGTGCCTCCTGGCCAGCAGCCCAGCACTACCAACAGGGTGTGACACCCCAGAAAATGCACCATCCCTTCATACCCACCCCTCTTTTTTCCTCAGGGTCCCCTGTGCCATCACTTGACCTTCCTTGAGTAATGAGTCATAGACTCGTTAAGGTTGAAAAGACCACTAAGATCTTCTAGTCCAACCATCAGCCCGTATAGAAAAGCTGGGAACCCAGAGGGATTAATCAATACTTCCAAAGTTGGGAAAGAAGAGCATTAGGGCTGCGCTTCTGCAGCACCATCTGAGGTTACCTGGTTGGACAAACCAAGCAAGTGATCAAACCATAATCTTCATGTACAGCCTGAAACTGAGCTTATTGAAACCGTCCCAGCTGCCTGTCACATGTCCCAACAAGGGAGGGAGATAAGGGATTAATCAAGTTAGTGGAAATATCCAAGAGCTATTGATGGTGGCTTTTTTTTCCATGCTTTTGAATGGTTGCAGGTGTCGGGGAAGGGAGGATGCTGGTTGGTGCTGAACACCCACATTCCTATTCAAGGAGGTCTAGTGCTCTGAGCACCGGGTGAAAACAGAGCCTGGGAAGATGAGAAAATGACATAAACACAGGCTGCATGGTGAGAGCCAATTACAGCACAGCACTGAGCTTCATTCGGTTTTCTTTACCAGCTGTTGCTCTTTGCTAAGTGTTAGAAAATTGTATTTCTGCTGAGGAACAAGAAAAGAGATTACAGCAACCTGGGCCTTCAGACCTCTGCAGTGCATCTAGCTTTTCTAAATATAGAGGAAAGGTTCTTCAAGATTTCTTCTTTTAAGTGGTGCATTTAATTACTAATGATTTAGCCAGACATTAACCATTGGTGCTGACTTTCCCCAGCTCCACTGCCTGCCTGAGGCTGAGCACAGCCATTTTGTCTGGACTTTTCAGCAAAATCAGTTTGGTTAATCCTGAGCAAGAGAAACTTATCTTGCTCTGGCCATTTGTAACACAATGGGAAGCGCACCAGTGTCAGCATACCTGCAAAGTCCCAGGCTGCAGTAGGTGAAGGTTTGCTCAAAATGCAACAGTCATGGACACAGAAACAAAGAAAATAATCTGCTTACCTTTGGAAGACCACAGGTATACAGGGATCTCCAGTGAGATATCCTTACCTCCACTGCCAACATTTAAATGAGGTCTGGGAAGGGATGGATCCTGGCTTTACCCCTTCTGATCACTCAGTTGCATTGCTTGCACCTGAGCTCCCCTGGGTGGGCCCTTCCTTCTCACCAGGTGCTCCATCACTGCTTAAAGCTGTGACAGCATTTCCACTACACCATCTCACCACCAAGTCCACCACCAAACCCATCTTACAGCCCTTTCACAGGGAAAATCCTATGCTCTCGTGCCTCGGGGCAGATATCTATCTGAACTACATCTCCTAGAATCATTGAAAGGACTTTTAGAAGTCTTCTAGTTCAGCTCCCCTGCAATGAATGAGAACGGACAAATCCCACTTCACTTCCATGCTGCGGATCCTTGCCTCTAGGCACCACCAAAATAAACCCCTGCTCATGTGCTGTCATTGTCATCTTTGTCATGGTTTTGTGAGCTCATCCCATGCCCATTCCAGCAGTTGGCAGGACCTCTCCAGCCTCTCTTTGCTGTGCAGGCAACCTCAGACCAGGAGTTTCATTCCATCATGACTTGCACGAGCACCATGTGCTCAGTTCTGAGCAGCAAACCTCACCCCTAGCGTAGCACCTCATCCTTCAGATGATGAGATTGTATCAAGCATTTGGAATAGGGAGCTTTTCAGAACCGCCTCTCTGAGTTGCAGCCCTGACATTGTGGTGTTTTTTTTTTCCTCCCCCTCCTCCCCCCATCCCATCTTCTGGAATTTGCAGAAAGGTTTAAGTTTCAACTTCAGTAATAGAGAAAACGTTTTCATTTCCAGCCTCTGAACAGATGTTGAGAAACTTGAGAGCAGGACAAGTTACCACTAGCCTCTCTCCAGGTCACGATGAGTTAACACAACTGAAAGCAAAACAGTCAAAGGACTTCGAGCATGAGAAGCAGGAAGAGGGTTTCCTGGCTTCATTGCCTCCAGAAAGGCCAATTTTGCACACCGTGAGTTGATAAATGAATGCTCAGAGTCTTCATGCAGCCTGTGCAATGGATAGACTGCTCTGCACACCCTCTCCATGGGCACTGCTCTTCCCAAGTGCTGGCAACGCCATTATCGGGAAACAAATGAGCTCTATCTGAGATAAATTGCATTTACACCAATTACAGCTCAATTGTTGACAGATGGGAACACAGAAGGGAGATGCGTCGAATCATTAAGAGGACAGGTGTATAGAAAAGTGCCAGATTAATTGTTCCAGCCCATTAAATCATTGACCTTTCCAGCCTACCCTCAGTGCTGAATTCAGAGCTCTCAGGATCCTTCCAGCTCACACACGACGACCACATTTACAAGAAAAGCACACAGGGGTGCTTTTAAAACACATGCTCCGGACCCAGACTCATTAGCAGGCCTTCTTTCTCATTAAAAGCTGTTTTCTTACTGGAGTTTGTTTTCTTGGCTTTTCCGTGCACTCACACGTTGCTCCAAGGAGCAGCTTTCTCCCCAATGAACAGACTTGCTATACATCCAGAGAGGTTGCAAAGGGCGAGGGGATGAAGGCAGACAGAGATCAGTGCTGAATGGAGGCTTTGGCTTTGAGTTGAGGCTTTGGCTCTGATTTCCAAATCCTGCTTTCCCTGAGATTTTCAGTAAATCCTGGGAGAGACAAATAGCTAAAAACTGCTGAGAGCAAATCAGCCATGGGTGTCTAATTCCCCTAAAAACACGTAGAAGCGTGCCTCCTGCTGAGAGCCAACACCAGATCCACTTATTCAAGATGGCCTGGCTTGGAAATGCTAAGGTTGGAAAAGACCTTCAAGATCATCAAGTCCAACCACAACCAAACCAAACTACCCCAACAACCTCTCCACTAAATCATGTCCCCGAGCACCACATCCAAATGGTTTTTAAACACATTCAGGGCTGGTGACTCAACCACCTCCCTGGGGAGCCCATTCCAGTGCTTAACAACATTTCTGTAAAGTGTTTCCTGATATCCAACCTAAACTCACCCCGGTGCAACTTGAGGCCATGAAAACTAAGGGGATAAGATTTCCAGCAGAGGGAAATGAATGGCCATGAGGGAGATGGGAGGAAGAGTAAACCCACCTCTCTTCTCAATGCCAAGTGAGCAAAACGTAGATGTTTTATAGCAGATTATCCATTAAAGCTGGAGGTGAAGGAAAGTCACCTGGGACAGAGGAAAGGAAATTTTTTTTAAAATTTAGAACATTTAGAAATACCAGAATGTTTGTTAAAAGACTTCTGACCAATCAGAATTGGTCAGATTCTGCCTTTCAATTTGAATGGATGTTCTGTGGCTTAGAAAAGGATGCAGGGTTAAAAACAAGCAGAAAGGCTCAAGTGACCTTAAGGAAAGCAAAACACTTTATTTCAGTTGGAACTTAATATGGGGGTTAACCCAGAATATTCTCCAGCTCTTGCTTGTTGATTCTGCCATCCTCCTCCTCCTCCTCCCTCTGCCCCCATGTTATTGTTGTTCGCTCCACACCACTTTCTTTCACATACCCAGATATTCTTTCACATACCCAGACATGTCATTTCTGTCCACACATCAACCACCTCATTTCCAGTGCTCCTCTCTGCTGGTCTCTGTGTTCAGAAATGCTACACATCACAAACATCACGTCTATGTCATGGTCTATTCGGAGCAGAGATCACAGCTTGTTCCTTCAGCACATCCCAAGCCTAGCTGCTAGAACTCTTTATCAAAGAAGTTATCGAAGAGTGAAACTCTCTCTGTCCTGGTTCTCACCAGCGGAGGTCTGCGGTAAAGCTTCTTGTCTTCCCTCTCCCACTCCTCAGAGTCAGTGCTGGAAGTGTCCCAGAGCAGATCCCTGCTGCGTGGCTCCTTGCAGAACCACAGCCCAACCTTGCTGCTGCTGCTGCTGCTGCTGCCCAGGGGAAGCCCAGCTCTGGCATGGTGCCCTGCAAATCCTCCATCCCCTCTGTTTCCTGAGAGAGAAAATAACAATAATTGCAGTTTTCCTCAGAGGCATGCCCATCCTGTTGGGTTCAGCTGGTAATCCCTATGAGGAAGATCCTGAGAAATCCCTGCAAGATCAGAGCACGTTCCTGGGGCTGGGCAGACCTGGCACAGTCTATTCAGAAATAGAATCTTGGAACTGGCTGGGCTTTAATGTCCCTTCCAACCTAAACCATTCTGTGATTCATTCTGTTGGGTGAATTAATCAAGTCTGACAACTTGATTAATGAGGCAACTGGTTTAGTGCTGACCCATAGGAATGGTGGGATTTGCATGTTGTGTCCCAGGGAGCACATTCCTGCCTGAGATGCTTTAAGACTCCCAATGTATGTGGGTAGGTGAGTACCATCTCCAGTACCTTCACATGGCACTGTCTGATCTTCTGCTGGTGGGAACCTGCTCCTGGCCCTGGGATGTTTGCTTCTGTGCCCCTATGGCTATTCCCTGACTTCCATAGGGAAACTGACTTAGAGTCATACAATCATAGACTAGTTGGGTTGGTAGGGACCTAAAAGATCATTGAGTTCCAACCCCTGCAGTGAGCTGGCTGCTCCCCCCAGCTCAGACTGAGCAGGGCCCCATCCATGGCCTTGGGCACCTCCTAGGATGGGGCACCCACAGCTCTGGGCAGCAGTGCCAGGGCCTCACTGCCCTCTAACAATTTCCTCCTAACCTCTAACCTAAATCTCCTGTTCTAATTTAAAGCCATTCCCCATTACCCCACCACTATCAGAGGTCTGTATTCCTCCTTTTTATTTTGACCATGAGAGAGTTTATTTTAGGTTCATTAGCGTGAGAAAGAGGACTTTTAAGAATAGATGTGCTCCTATAAAGCTCACTTTCAGCTTTTTCCACCAGGACCCCCAAGTCCTTCTCGCAGGACTGCTCTCCCAGTTGTACACATAGCTGGGATTGCCCTGACTTAAGTGCAAGACCTCGCAATGTGGCTTTGTTGAACCTCAAGGGGTTCAAATGGCCAGATGAGGATGCTGAGGAGTTTTACATCTCCTCGAAACATGATTCTGCTTACCAGTGTTACTATCAAAATGCAGACTGCACTCAGCAGGGATGAGGTCTTGGCTCCTGGTGCTGTCGCCTCTCTGAAGTGTGTCAAGGACCATCTCCGAACCCAATTCCTCCATTTTTTGTTTATTGATTTTTGCCTCCCTGTGGAGATCCCGCTTCAGCTCCACCTGGGTTTGCAAACAAGTCATCAGCACAAGCAGCAGAGGAGCAAACACGTTCTAACAGCTTGACGCAGTACGTCATTAAAGAGCTGGCACTGCAAGTAATCACACATCCAGGTAGCTCAACCAGGGCAATTCGTATTTGCCAAAACGAGCGCAAGACAGAACGTGACCCCATGGGAACTTCCTCACCTAGGGGGGAGGCAAAGAGATGGAAAAACCCTTCCAATCCTCAGCCTCTCCCCAAGGCCATCCCCACGTTACCTCTCGGCGCCGGCGCGTCAAGTCCAGCATCTGCATCTTGTGCAAGTGCTGCCGTCTGCAAGGGAGGGCTCTCAGACTCTGCCCCCTCTTCTCCAGAGTCTGTGAGGTATTAAAAGCATCAGTAAAGACACCTGCGTTGGCTGAAAGGAAAAGAAACTCCTGCTTGCCAACCCACACCCGGTCCCTCAGGTGCTGCCCAGATGAAGGCAGTGAGCGTTTTCCTGTCTGGCCAATGTGCAGCAATTTAGTGTAGGTTTTCAAAGCACTCACAGCTTATCTATCTCACAGCTAAGGGGCACGACGGAAACTTCTTATTAAAGTCACGTATGCCTGCTCCTGCTTCCAAGGTGCTGCTCTGCTCTGCTGTGCATTGTTCAGGCTGACATCAGGAGCTGCACATGGACAATCGTGCCTGCTGCACAGCTCTTGGCCCTTTGCTGTGTGCTCACCTTGGCTTTTGGGGCTCCATCCATCCCTTGCTGCCTCCAGGGCTTTGCAGCAGTGATCCCCCTTGGAGTGCCAGCAGGTTCAAGCCTCTGCAAGTGCAATATTTAGTTTTCAGCATTCCTCTTTTCATACAAACACCCAACCCAACATGAAGATACTTAGACATTCCTCCAACTCCAATTCTGGCCTGGTTGCTTGGGATACAAGAAGGAGTTTGGCACATTCAGCAAACGCTCAACACGCATCAGTATCATAACTGAATACAGTGTCTCCTGGCAGGTCATCCAAGGCCAGATCCTGGTTACCTGGCCCTGAAAACCGTCCCCTCCATCCAGCTAGACTGTTTTGGAGGCTAAGGCCTTACTCTGCAGGACTGCACGTGGTATGGAAAGTCCTTCCTGATGGAGTTCAGCAGCTTTACAGGCTGTCTGAGCATGGATTTCCATCTCAAGAACTAAGATATCTCCTTCAGCCTCCCAGATAACACTGGCTCACTTCTAGTCTCAATACTCCTCATTTCCCACCTACGATGGGAGCTCAGCCTGACTTCCATAAAAATTAAAAGGAACATCATAGAATCCTAGGCTCATCTAGTTGGGGAAAGAGACTTAAGACCATCAAGACCAGCTATCAGTCTAACACTACCAAATCCACCAATAAAATATGTCCCACAATGCCACATCCACATGTCTCTTAAATATCTCCAAGGAAGGAGACTACTGGGCAGCCTGTTCCAATGCCTGAGCACAATTTCTATGAACACAGGTTGGATACCAGGAAACATTTCTTCTCCAAAAAACTGGTGATGCATTGGCACAGGCTGCCCAAGGAGGTGATAGCAACACCATCCCAGGAGGTGTTCAAGAACCATGGAAGTATGGCACTGAGGGACATGGTCAGTGGGCATGGTAGGATGGATTGGGCTTGGGAATCTGGGAGGTCTTTTCCAGCCTTATTGATTCTATGATTCCATATGTTCAGTCTAAACCTCCCTGGCACAACTCAAGGCCATTTGCATCAAAGACTCTATCTGGAAGACCTATCTTGCTCTGTATATGGGACAACATTAACCTCTTGAATGTGAACAAGATTGTCTTCTGACTGGTGACACGACTCTGGCTGGCTGCACCAAGTTGCTGCCAAAGTCTGGGCTGTAATCTTCAAGGATCCTGTAAATAAATCATGGGATCACAGAGTAATTAAGGTCCAGCCATCAGTGTATCATTATGGGAGATTAAAGGCAGCAGTAAAGGAATGCTGGAGAGGAATCCCAATTCAAGCCAATGCAACCGGTAAAAGTAAAAGAAAGCTCCCTAGAATTAATGGAAAATTTCCCTATGGTTTCCTATGTACTTCAGCTCTGCCTATGGCATCCCTATTTTCCACCATGCCTCCTCCATGCAGTGCTGCATAACGTGTGCTTTCTTTTCACCTTGCTCCCCAGCCCTGGCGTACGGCTCGTGGCCAGCTTCTGTGTGCACGAAGCTGAAAAATGTGGCACTAGATGGCAGCATGCGACACCGCAAGCTGCAGCCCGGATCACACATTGCTCACATACCACACATCCCACCGAGGAAGCAGTTTTGGGCTTTCTGCTTAAGTTGTGCCATGTGCTCAGCAAGTAGGACGTTTGCTTCCCCGTCCCCAGGCCAAGCAGAGCAGCCCTATGGGAATCTTCATACATTCACCCTACCTGCGGTTGCCGAGGTGGGTGCAGCTTGATGATGCTGCTGGCTCCATTCTCTCCAACCAGCACAGTGCTGAAGTCAAAGGGCCCTGAGGGATCAGAAAAGGAGAAGATGAAGTGAGGTCACTTTCTGATGTCTGCTCCTGGGCTTTACTCAACTACAGCTTTCTACCACATTTTTATTGGCATTTCCCAAACCCATCTGTCCCAGTTTTTTGCCCATTGAGTTGGTGGTGCCCCATCCCTGCAGACAGCCAAAAGTCAGGCTGGATGGGCTCTGAGCACCTGATGGAGCTGTGGGTGTCTCTGTTCATTGCAGGGGATTTGGACCAGATGGCCTTGAAGGCAGCTCCCTTCCAATTAAAAGAGTCTGCGATACTACTCCAGTAACAGAAGGTACAAATTATGTTACTCACAGAAATAACACATAGATGTATTTGCATTTAAGAAACCTGTCTGCCACATGCCTCTCTTCTCCCTTTACAGCCCCTCACACAGTCCATATATGACAATGACCAACCTCTGTGTCTCCTGTAGCATCTCTGGGCCTCTCCTTCCACACACAGCACCTCACTGAGCTCTATGGCCACCCCAGTTTCCTGTCCCAAAGTAGAGAACAGGCAGAGAGCTGAGCCTCTTTTTGCTGCTCAGCCACAAAATCACACAGAAGGGACCTTAAAGATCACCTGGCTACCACCCACCAGCACCTGTTACTTATTAAGGCAGTGCTTTAACTGAGCTCAACCTGCCCTGAGCTCTGTGCTGTTCCTCCTGGGTGCACAGGAGTGTTATTGCTTGCACAATTAAACATGCACAGTAACTGTTACAGCTTCTCTGTCCTCCCTAAACCTGCCCTTGGGTGTCTGAATGCCATTCCGTGTGAGTCATTGAGCTTCCCATATCTTGGCCTCTTGGGGGGGGTATGGGGATAAAGGGCTGGGCTATGGCACAGAGAGACAGGGAAAAAGGTACTGCATGGGTGTTAAATCCACATTTACCAGTTGCACAAAGTGGGAGGTGCCCTGATGGGACTGCAGTACCCCCAAACCCAATCTGTTCACCCCAGACCACTGTCACACCAAAGCTTTGTGTGCTGTCACAGCACCCTGCTGTCCCTCCACAGACATTCCTTGTGTCCTGCTCCACATGAGCACAAACCTCCTCCTTCACCTCTAGGTTTGGATATGGGACATCTGGGGCACAGCACATTGCAGCAGGACTCACCTTCTTCCGCCTCTTGCTAGTGGAGTCAGCCTGGTGCCGTGGGGCTCTGATTTATTTTAATGCTGAAATTCACATCTAATTAAAGTCTAACTCTAATTAAGGTAATGATATGGCTGTGCCCAGCGGTGCACGTTATGGGGCTGAGATATGAATGCTGCGTCTGGCACTGCAGGGGTGCTGTGAACTGGGCTCTGAAACCATCTCAAAAGGCTCTGGGAAGGGAAAAGGTTGCTGGGAAAAGCCTCCCCCCTTTGCTCCATACCTGTAGAGGCTCTCCCATACCCGGTCTGGCGGAGGGGTGGGAGCTGCCCGTGGGTTATGGGATGTCCGTGCTCCGTTGTGGCTGTTGGGTGCAGGCTGGGGTCCCCCAGCACCTCCTCACTGCTGAGCATCGGTGCCACCTGGGTCACCCTGGGGTGCGTCTTGGAAGAGCTGAGACCCATTTTGTAGAGCTTGGGAAGAAGGAAAAGCCCACTCTGAAAGCAGTGCCGTGATGCAGAGCTCCTGACTGGCTGCCGAGCACAGGGTTGGATCCCACCGCCAAATGCACTCATGTGCCCTTCCCAGTGGGGTTAAACATTGACACAGCCCTGGCCACTGCTTTGTTTTTACCTCCACATGACTTTCAGCAGCACTGCCTCAGCTGGTTGAGTTGGAGGCATTTCTACAAGTGGTTCATTTGCTAAACATTCAGTCTTTGGAAAGAAATTTGATGCTCGGAGTGGGTCAGAGCATCTCCAGAACCTCCCCAGGTATACGAAAAGCACCCCCTACCCTTGCTTTATCTCTTGTAGTGGCATTGCTGAAGATAAAAACAGGTTTATCACAAACCCACCTAAAACATCAAAGCCAAAGCCAAGATTCAGATTGGATAATAGGAAACGTTCTCCAGAAGAGCAGTAATGCAGTGGTACATCTGCCCAGGGAGTGCTGGGCTCACCATCCTTGGAGAGGTTCAAGGACTGTGGAGATGTGGCACTGAGGGACCTCGGCAGTGGGAATGGTGGGGGGTGGGCTGGGTCAGATCCTCATCTAGAAATTTGTGTTTTTGGGGGCGTGGGGCAGGCAGAGTGGCTTTGCTGGGGGTGGGAGGAAGGCATGGCTGCAGAAAGGCTGTGTCTGAGCAGGCACCGGGCGGGTGGGATTCTCAGTTTGTATTCCTCCAATGGATCAGCAACACGGCTGTGCAGAACAGCCCTGGATTTCACATTATTTTCCTTGCTGAATACTTAATGAGGCTCCTTGAAGGATCCAGTGCTGGGCCTGAAGACGCTGCCGTGAAGCTGCGTGCCAAAACACACTTGTCAATGCATGCTGAAAGGAAATGCTTGTTTTCCCTGTGTGTTTGGTTTGGCAGGAGCTGGAATTCCAGTAAAACACATCTCTACAGCTCTCTGTCGGTGTAAATGAATGTATCAACCCCAAAACCAACCTGGGGTGGTGCCCATTCAGCCACAAGTGTGACTGATCCCAGAAATGCTGGGTCACAGCTCCCCTATGGTGACAGGGAGGGAAGTGGCCAGGTTGGTTTGCTTTGGCTTTTGAAAGGTTTTTCACTGTGGCGGATGAGAAGAACAATTGTTTGGCCCAATGAAATGCTCTAAGAAATGGGATCTGCCATTTCCCAAGGGTGCTGATGGTTCAGGGTGCTCCATTTCTCATGGGAGGTACTGGGCTCTTGGTAAAGCTCAGCACCGTTGGGTTCAGTAACACAAGAGCTTAAATGTTCGTGGGTTTTTTTTTTTAATTAGAAAACATTTTATTGTGGTTATTTACACCCTTTCCTTGGTAAGTGTATAAATGTAAACATTTATTATAGATCTAACTCTCTTATCTTACAACTCATACCCAGTTCAGAGTAAATGGCATTTTTAAGCATACAAGGAGTGAGGAAATTTAAGCTATATTCACAGAATATACACCTGCGTGCAGTACAGTCCACCAGCCCTAAGCTAGTGGTATAGACACTGTGCCATTGGCTCTACTTCTGCTTCTCGTGTGTACACTGGAGTCTGTGATGTCGTCGGCGTGATCCTCACTTTTCTTCTCCTTTAAGCTGTTGATGAACCTCAGGGTTATTTCGTCCCACTCTTCGGGGAGCAGCATCAGCAGGAACCCAATGCAAATGATGATGGTGGCTCCCAACCTCACCACGCTGAAGATCATTTTGTGCTTCAACAGATCCACAGCTGCGAAGGAGAAACAACAGCACCATCAAAACTGCAGCAGGAAATAGACTGTGGCATCAGATCAGCCTGGCTTATCTCCATGACATGCATCTTAGATGGCCACGTTGTCTGCCATCCCCAAGAGTAACCAGATCTTGGACAATGTAAAAGACTTTTCCTTGTATCTAACCTATTTTCTTGAAGCTTGAAGCCATTTTCCCTTATTCTGTTACCACAGACCCTACTCAGGAGTCTGTCTCCTTCTTTCCTGTAGCTCTCCTTCAGATATTGAAAGGCTACCAACAGGTCATGTCCTTTTGCCACATGGATCAGGGAGGGCAGCAAACTGGAGGTGATGCCTCCAGGCCAAGCCTGCCAGCCCCACAAGCCTAATAACAGCACATCTGAGCCCTTGCAGGGCTGACAATCACATCGTGCATCTCTGACCTGCATTCCCCTCTAAATAGATGTTTCTTTGGAAATGTGCCCAGACACCTGGAGTTGCAGGGGGGTGGAGGAGAAAAACAGAAGAGCAGAGACAGCAGCTACTGAAGAAGAAGGAGGACTCTGGAGTAAAGTTCCACGTGTATGGGCTGCCCTCCATCAGTCACCGGCTCTGGGGCTGCTGCCTGCCTCTCTGTGCTCAGTATGGGCACAGCCACCAAGAAAAGGAAGACAAAAGAAATGGCTTTGGCTAACAAAAAATCCCACCATCACCAGGAGCACGCGTGGGAGCCAAGCGACATCAAATCCCTTCTGAAATACGTGGCAGAACATTTTGACCATTTAGACAAAAGATCTGCTTCTGCTGTCTGCATGCTGATGTGCTTATCTTCCAACCCACGAGCAAGGACTTGTACCTGCATTCCCAGGGACGCTGAGCACTGTGCCAATGGAGATCAGAATGGGGTACGTAAGCACGACGCCAACGTTAACCAGAATGTTGAAGGCTGGGGAAAACAGATAAAATAATACATGATTATGCAGAAGAGCACTAGAATGAGACTCTCCTCCTCCACTCTGACCCCAGAAACGTGATGGGAATTCTATAGTCAGAGTCATTAAGGTTGGAAAAGACCTCTAAGACCATCTAGTCCAACCATCCACCTACCACCACCAATGCCCACTGACCACGTCCCTCAAGATAAAGGGGCACTCATGCAATTAGCCTATGAAGTCAGCTAAGCAGGCTGTACTTAGACCACGGTCTTGCTGCAATGTTGCAGGCAGTACAAATGCTCAGTGTGGATTTATGGGATGTTTTGGGTTTTTCTTTTTAATATAAGTAGTCCAAAACAGCAGAACTCTGGGTGGTAAGTTATCAGTACTTTTTGTCCCTTTGATGCTCACAGAGAAGGTGCCATTCAGCTTAGGAATGGCAAGGGCTTTGCTCTCAGCACCTCAGCTGTCAGACTTGCTGTGTTTTAGCATGGCTGCATTGATGGGCTGTGTACTGGCAACGACATCCTTTTTGTTTCCCTTTAATATACTTGTAGTGGAGACAAACCTCTACAATTATGAAATAATTGAGACTTTAGCAAAGGAAAGGATGTTCTTATACCTGCAAATTAAAACACCCCTGGGCTGAATCCAACAGCTTTTCTGCCTGCCTAGAGGACAGCAATTGTAGCCCTGGAAGAAGAAGTGTTAGGGGAGAGAGGAGGGGAGGAGAAACCTGCAGGAAATGAAACAGACAGCACCAGTCTTTGCAGACTCCCAAAAAGCTGTGCAACCTCTGCCCAGAGCCTGCAGCACCCCCAGAAATGTGTCCTGCATCAGTAAGTCTCCGTGTCAGTGCTGCATGCCCTGCAGAGCTTGCCAGGAGCTGCTCGGCTGTGTGCAACCCTTTGAAATTCCATTTTTAGCAACCAATCTGGGACAGAGAAAGTGAAATATCAATAACACCGCTGTAGGAATGCAAAGATGAAAAGTGAACAATTAGTACGAGCTCTCTGTCTTTGTTCCCTTCTACTAATATTAGTGTTAAGGCCTCCAAAGGAAGTGTTAATCATTCTTTAAGGAGTACCAGTGTGCACTGAGGTCAGATTCCATCTGGAAGAGCTTTGTACTGGGTGCAAAGGGATGGGACAGAAAAACGAGCACCTTTTTTATCACATACCTAACCAGAGGCCAGCTACTCCACACAGGAAGCCCCACGGCACAGCAGAGAAGGGTGACCAGTATTCCACCTTCGTAAAATACAGTATGATTGGGGTAACAGAGATGAAAATTAAATTGAAGAAGCCCAAGGTGGAAACAAAATGAGCAGCCTCTCCAAAATTCGCACTGCCAAGAAACATCTTGAACAAAACCTGCAAAGGAAAGAGACGGGTTTTAGCCTCATGGCTGTTGTGGAAAGCAAAGTCCTCCTGCACAGCGTCCTCCTTCCCTTTCCTTGGGAATAATGGGGCACAAGAACAGCCCTGACCAGGACAGGGTGTCACATCCCAAAATTCCCTCTTAGCAGAGTTGCCCTCAATGAGTTCTTATCCCAGAGTGTACACACAGCTGGGACTTCCCAGACCAAACTCCAACACCTTGCATTTGGCTTTGCTGAATCTCATTAGGCTCGCATGGGCTCACCTTTTGAGTTGTCCAGGTCCCTCTGGGTGGCATCCCTTCCTTCTGTTCCATCAACTGCATCACTCAGCTTGGTGTCAACAGCAAACTTGCTGAGGGTGCATTTGATGCCATTGTCTGTGTTGTTGATAAAGATGTTGAAGAGCACTGGTCCCAAGACGGACCCCTGGGGGACACTGCTTGTGACCAGCCTCCACCTGGACATAGAGCCATTGACCACAGCCCTCTGGCTGTGATCTTCCAGCCAATTCTTTATCCATCTAATAGTCCAGCCTTCAAATAGTCAGCCTTCAACTCTCTCTCCCATTTAGAGATGAGGATGTAGTGTGGAACCACGTCAAAGGCCTCGCACAAGTCCATGCAGACAACATATCTTGATGTTTATTATAAAATGCCAGAAGGAGTGTAACTCAGAACCCAAACACAGAGCAGTCCATGTAAGGAGAGTTACAGGAGTAAACACAACCACCTTAGCCCAAACTACAAGGTGGGCTATTTCTAGGTCAGCCATGTCCCTCCCTTCTTCATCTCTCACCTCCAAGAGCAGCTAGTTCTTTCAAGCAGGAGTCAGAGCCCTGCTGTCTCTAATATACCAGGCAAACAGGGGCTCTGAGCCTGGCACGAGAGTGGAATACACAAGAGCTCTGCACTGCAGACCAGGGACGAGATGACTGTCCCTGCAGAAGGGACACGGTGCTATCTGCTCCCACCCTCTCCTCCCTGCTGCAAACGGCCCACTTGAAACAGTGTCAACAAATGGCAGTGGCAAGAAATGGTTAAAACATGATCCTAAACTCCTTGCAGCAGGATAACAACAGAGATTTCATCAAGGGCTCATAAAGCAAAGGCAATCTGAATATTTGGCAGCAACAGACTAATTACTCTGGTAGTAAGATTTCTGTCACTGTGACATCACCTGGTCACAACACGAATGACACAGGAGGGGTAAATAAACAGAAGCATTTAATTCATAGGGATCTGCTCTGTACATTCGCATTATTATCATCTAATGCTAAAAAAAAAAAAAGAAATATTAATAAACAGTGACGACCCACCTTATACAGTGCAGATGTAGAGGCTGATCCAACAGCATATGCTACCCCGATAATTGAATCACCCTGGAAACCATCTGCATATGCCATCATTACGATTCCTGTGATTGCCATTATTGCTGCGACTATCTGCACAGACAAAGCAAAGCAACGTGAAGCTCAGCACAGTTTCATTACACAGGAAGAGATTATCACTGCAGGGGGCTTTAATGAGTGTCACTAGCTATGTTCTCTGACTTCACATCTTCCCAACTTCCCTTAAATAGGTGGTTATATACTGTTGGGAGAGATGTAAAACGTAATGAAAGTGTATTGCACTGAGTGATATGGATCTATAGCAATGCAAACTGTCCTGGGAGCTACTCACATACCATCCATCATTACGTGTTTTACAAGCTAAAAACCCACTTTAAAGATGTGACTCCAAGACCGAGAGATTTCTAAGATACTTTGTTATGCAAGAGGATGAATAGTCATCAAAGCCACCACTTGGACCTGAAATGTAAACATTTTGATGGGAAGCCTTCCTGGAGATCAGCCCAGGAGAATAACTCTTGTGTTGGGGATCAGCTGTACATAACTGGGAGCTGTGTACATTTCCCAATGGCTGTGCCAGCTTTCTTGGACAGATGTGGCCAAATGTCTTCATGAAACCTTTACCTTTCTGGTCAGGGTTTGTAGGGTTGAGTTTTTTTTTGCCTCTTTTGAAAATCCAAGTCAGAGCTTCTAAGAAGCTCAAAGGAAAAAGAACAGAAATATGTATCTACACAGTATGTGAAATCCTGGGTCCTGACTCCAGGAAACTCATGAAGTGCCAGGGATCAGACCATGCTTTATTCTTTGAAAAACTCCTCTTTTCCTACCTGCCCTCAGCAGGTAAATAAGGTGTCTTTACCTTATTCTTCTTTCAAAGACAGTGACTACCTAACTTCCATGGACTTCAGGGGGAAATGTTTCCTCAGACCTGGGGAAAATCACAGCTTCATTTCTGAAAGATGGGTTTTTAAATGGATTTTACAAAGAATAGGTATAGCATTAAACACCTTGCCATTATAAATAGAAGACTGTACTAGAGCTTGGCACAGCCAGAAGATGCACAAATGCAGATCCCTAATGTTGGCTGTTACAGTGTCATCAGCAGTTTGTAAGGCTCAGATGCTTTTCTCTTATCAGCTACCCATTAAATCGCACAGTGAGGAGGACAAGGAGGGCCCTCTCCATCCATACAAACTAAAACAAATATAGTTATGCTCAACAGCTGCAGTCAGCTGCTGCTTTCATAGAATCACAGAATCATAGAATGGCCAGGGTTGGAAGGGACCTCAGGGATCATCAACCTCCAACCATCCCACCACAGGCAGGGCCACCAACCTCCACATTTAATACCAGACCAGGCTGCCCAGGGCCCCATCCAACCTGGCCTTGAACACCTCCAGGGATGGGGCATCCACAGCCTCCTCGTCACTGGGACAACCCCAAACCAACACCAAAAAGAGATGGGCACTGGGTTAGGAGTTCTTTCTGGAAAACCTCACTCAGCTGCACATAAGAAATGTTTACCACCAGATGAACTTGAGTTTCACGTGCTTCACACACGCACGGCCAAAGATTTCTCCATAAAACCACCTGCCCTACTGCAGAGCAGTCTGACTTTCAGATCTCACAAAGGTTCGTCAAGAGTTCTAGAAACCAACTGATACTTGTACTGAGCAGATGTGAGGCAATAAACACAAAACCCTCATAAAAACAACTTCAACAGCACCACTCAGAAGAGCAAACCATGTCTCAGGGGACACACAAGGTGAGGACACGTGTAAATGTGTCCATGTATGGGAGATTACTGAGAATCAATAATCAACTCCCACAGTGAAGCCAAATCTCTGAGACCGCAGCTAAAATGTTAGCACTCCTAAATCCCAATGGCTGGAAGGGACCTTTTTAAAGCCCATTGAGTCCCACTCCCTGTCATGGGCAGAGACACCTCCCACCAGCTCAGGCTGCCCAGAGCCCCATCCAGGCTGGCCTTGGGCACTTCCAGGGATGGGGCACCCACAGTTTCTCCATGCCAGCATCTCATCACCTAATAGAGAAGAATTTCTTTCTGATATTTAATCTAAATCTTCCCTCTATTAGTTTAAAGTCGTTACTCCTTCTTCTGTCACTGCATTCACTGACAAATTATGTAATATTTGTCTAATACTGCTATTCCTCCTTATGGTTTATCCTAGCATACCAATACCACAGCACCCAGCCTTGAAGCAGTGCAGAATCATACTCAGTGCTTCTCTGAAATCAGAATGACATGTCCTGTGATTCTGCAGGGCTCCCCTTGCCCTGCTTACTGCACATCTGGTTTCATCTTGGACTGCATCACACATCCTACCTCACGCATAAATTCAGATTCATGCAATAAAGATGCAGCATTTCAGCTGTCAGCTGAATCCTTCAGCCACAGTATCCCAGGCAGTATCTCCCACAAGACAAAACAGGGGAATCTGATGCAGTTATCCTCTTCTTCGGATGGAAAGAATCAAGATTAAACCAACACTCTGACCCAGTAAGTGAAGCCTTTCGTGGTTCTGGTGACCAGTAGATCCATCATCCCCACAGAAAGGAACTTCCTTGTTGGGAAAATCATCTTCCCAGCCTGACTACATCCAATTCTGAGAGGCAGTTTCCTAATCTAATCAACAATTTAGAAAGCCAAGCACCTTCTCCCCTGAAACAACCACAGCAATGGACAGACATGGGGCATCATCTCGTAATACTTCAGAAACATATGACCTGATACGGGAAAACAGAGAGAACATTATTTCAACTTCATGTACAAAGCCCTTCCTGCAAATCACACACCACTGCATTAGCACAGCTGACCTTGTGTGTTTGCTTTAGAAACCTGAGCACACATCCTGCAGACAAGCAGCAGCAAGGCCACGGCCAGGCAAGGCTGACAGCTGACAGCTCGTTAAACAAGGCTTTTAATTAATGGAAGAGCGGAATAACTTTCTATCAGATCTTTATGGATAAGGAATGAAATAAGCTTGCCTTTTTCTTTTTTCCTGGAAGACAGCTAGGCCAACTAAGAGTTAGGAACAATTGCTTTTCTGTGTGCAGCAGATGGCAAAATGGGGTGCTGCAGTAAGGAAATCTGTGTTTGCACTCTAGCCAATCTTTTTTGGGTGGGGGAAAAATGCCCCCACAGCACTCTGCACTTACCCAATAAGCATCACTTCAGCTGCCAACTTCACAGAAGAAACACAACCATGGGCTCAAACTTGGGAATGTTTAACATGTGGCTACATCTAAGCATCACAAACCCACAGAACTCTCCAAAGATGAGAAGTCATTCACACATCTGTGCTTGCTCTGAGCCACAGCTGCCCAGCCCTCCACAAATCCCTGTATAACATGGACACAGGGTGCATCTTATTAATCTGCAAGGCATTCATAAGTGTCCAAGCAAACCAGGTTATGGCGTAGTAGGGTCTGTGTGATGTTCCTTGTGCAGATACTCACTGTGGCTAAGGGTCTGCCTCCACTGAAACTCTGAATCCTTGCTCTTAAGTAAATAGATACACATTATTGCTGTGTATATCAGTTTCATATAAATATTCTTTCTCTAGTGTGTGTTTTATCATAGAATCATAGAATGGCCTGGGTTGCAAAGGAGCACAATGCTCATCCAGTTCCAACCCCCTGCTGTGTGCAGGTCGCCAACCAGCAGACCATGCTGCCCAGAGCCACATCCAGCCTGGCCTTGAATGCCTGCAGGGATGGGACATCCACAGCCTCCTTGGGTAATCTGTTCCATGCGTCATCACCCTCTGTATGATAAATTTCTTCCTAATATCTAACTTAAACCTCGCCTCAGTTTTACTCTCTCTGGTTACCCCAAGCTCCTTCAGCATCACTGCAAAGCACACACTGCAAGTAACTCAAATGCCAGAGCACGATGTGCAGCCTTCCTGCAGCTATTTGATGCTTCCCCACCCAAATCTATGCCACACCGTATGGGCAGCCATCACACCATGCCTGTCCTTATGCAGCCCACCTGAAATCCTGCCTGCAGCTGCATTCCACCCCGATGCACTGCAGATATGCCCCACAGCTCCCAGGCTCTGACAGAACAAGTAGCTGAGCTCTGAAATGCTGTCTGGGCTCTAGGCTGCTGTGTGCTTCTACATGGGGTATGCAATTACCCTTTTTATTTCCATCCCCTTCAAGTCCAAATAGCCAAATCATGCCTGCTGTCTGAGATGCATTCATAATACCAAAGGCTGAGTCCACGCTGCTTTGCTGTGTTTTAGTTCTCATACACTCTCCTGCGTGGTTATTAACATCATTAAGTGTTACTCTGGCAGGAGGGCTGCTGGAAAACGCTGCTAATTACCCTTCCAGCACAGTGCATGCAGAATCTGCCACTTAGCAGCAAAAGCAGCTTCTTTCATGTGCAGGATTTGCTGTTGGCTTCCTCTGCCAGCTCTTTCTTGTACAAACCTCATGGTGTTTACAGCATTAATACTAATGCATATTTATAAAGACTTTGTATCAGTGAAAAACAGCTAATAACTGAGAATAGCTTTAGTATTTTTTACCTGCTTTCTTTAAGAAAGTGGGCTATATAAATGCAGTAATTGTGTTTGCTCTTCTAGAAAGAGGTTGCTTTTAGGGAAAAAAAAAAATAGCTTAGAGAGTCCCAAATTTCCTATTTTTTTTCCCAGCTGGGCTCAGTATCACCTTACACAAGTGAGGAATAACAGCAAGAAGCTGAGATGATCAAGGGACTGAGGGGGGAAAACAGCCTCAGAAGTCACCGCTCCTGTTAATTGCTGTGCAGGAGAACTGAGGATTTCAAACCCTGCTTCTTTGAGCCAGCCATCAGCGTGATGGGGGGGTATGGCACGCTCAGATATCTGAGTTTTTACATTTTTAATTATATATGAAATAGATATACAGATGTCTGGCTTTAGCACTGCAAGGTGAGGTGTCCATGCCTTTACCTTCATGGCACGGACCCTTTGCTGAACTCATCCAGCAACAATCCCTACCCAAAGGAGATGTTCTCATGGGACAACATATGGCTGACAATGCTCCATGTCATTACAGGCTGCCAAGCCAGTCCTGTCCCTCCAGGAAACCCCAGAACTGTTTTACTTTACACTTTTTCTGTCCCCAGAACCCAAGCACAGTGATTGGGCAATGTGCTGCTGTCTGCTCCAAATGCCTGTGCATTAGGGTGCCTTCCCCTTTCACTTCTGAACCAATTCTATCACGCTGCTAATTAAAAGCAAGCCCTTGTCTTCATCACTTTTTTATTAAAGCGGCCCACTTGGATAAGCATCCTGATCCTTCAAGCTTTCCATGGAACTTCTACTCTATTGACCCTCCTGATCACAGAACTTCCATTCTATTGACCTTCCTGATCACAGAACTTCCATTCTATTGACTCTCCTGGTCCCAGGCACCAGCCTGGCCCCACACAGTCACTGGTGGGGCTCAAGGTCCAGAAGGATCACACCCACTGACACCATGAGGTCTTGGACCACCACTTCAATGGGAGAATCTGCACAAGTAGAAGCAGGGAAGACTTGGCTGCTCCTTAGCCAAGCAACAGAACACAACCATGCAAACTGCTGCATATCAGGAGATCTCAGATGTGGTAGTGGTTTATGCATGTGTACGTGTGGAATAAGTATATATGTTACATATTGAATACAGCTGCCTGCTCAAACAAGGAATAAAATTGCTTTGGTTAGAACCTAAGCATTTATCAGAAGGTTTAAAATAAAATTAACTGACTGTACTTAGCCCCATAACCCAACTGAGTCTGACACCTCTGACTGATTTCAGTCTCACATCTGGACCACAAAGCTCAATGAGAATGGTTTCATGGTACATGCATACCATAACATGGTGTACACATACCATAATGCAGCAGGACTATGGTAGTGCAATAGCTTATGGTTTGAGGTAAGGGTGAAAATAAGAGAGGTGAAAATCAAGCATGTCATTACCCTTGCTCCCATGAACCTGTCTTTCAGCACAATCCAAGAAAGCAAGAAGACAAAAGCTTTGTTACAACAGAACAGAGCAGAGACGTCTGTGGCTGTCAGCTTCTTTAAAGCCAGTAAATACAAGTAGTTAGTCAAAGTCCACAGAATAGAAAAGGGAGCAGTCCTTTTAAGAAAGAGTTTCAGCGTCAGACCATCTTCACCAAAAATCCGACTGCATTCCCTAAGAAAAGAAAAGAGAGTTTAAAGCTCAGCTAGGGTTCTGCTTAGCATTCACTCCAGCACGGCAAACATTCATTAGACTTTTATCACACTCAATTAAGTGCTTTTCTTAACTACTCTGCACGCCCGTAAGAAAGTGTTGTTTAATTCACAGAGAGAAAATAACCAATATTTTTCTCAAAACAGCAGTTTCACAAATAGAAAAGAAGTAGCTTACCTGGAATAATCACAGTCTATGCACCAATAATCCCAGAGGTGCACACGTAAATGAAGGTCATCTATAAAACACTGACAGCTCTCAGCTTCTGCCTTCAAGGCCATGAAAAGGGTGATTACAACTGCAGTCTTTCTCTGTAGCTTGACAACTGTCCTCTTGCTTTGCTCTGATACCTCTTTTTATTTCTATTGGAATATATTCTAGTGTATGGCCAAGAGAGCTTTAGGGACTGCCTGAAAGATACCCACTGGCACGTGAAGCTGAGCCGATGAAACAAGAGAAGAGTAAAGGGCAGGGTATATAACAGGTGTATTTTACAACAGAGTGAAAAGTGTGAATGCAACACGAAACCAAAACGCCAATGGAGCAAACCAAGGTGCCACCAAACTGCAACACATCATTATGACAACACTAAGGGACTATGACCAAAATTCACCCAGGTCTTGGGTCCCCAGAGCTTTCATAGCTTTGGACAATTCCTAAAATACCAATTACCTGGAATAGCTAGAAACTTCAAAGAGTGCATTGAAAAATACATCAAGTAAAAACTTAGGTTTTCTGTACTTTATTGGGGTGTGGTAGTGGGAATAATAATCTTGGCTTAATTTCCATTTAAAGAGTTGTGTTGGGGTCTCCTTGCCCACTGCTATTAACTCTGGGGAAATCTGCTGTTAAAAAGGTTTCTTGTTTTTTACTATTGTGAATAGAAATCACCATTCTTCATTAGAAGAAAGGAGAGTAATTACATCTATGTAATATATAGGATAACCTATGCTTTATTTCATAGCTATCAATTCCCTCTGCTACTAAGATGAGCTGGGGTACAAAGCAGTCATTTTTGGCAATAACACCAAAACTGGGATGTGCACCGAGCTGATGATGCTCAGGCTGGCAGATCTGCCAATCCTCTTCTTCAGTCTGGATGAGCTGAATGCTCTCAGAAGTCAGCCTGTTTCTATGGAACACTACACATGGAAAGAGAACAGCTCGTGTTGTGTATCACTTATCTCTTGCCTTTGTACCTCATTTATCTGAGGTAAACTGAGGCAAACAAATAAATGTTTCAGTTTGAATGCAGGCTGTTGTACCACTGCTTTCAACAGGAGTTAAAAGTGATGAATTTCCATGTCTGGAAACGGCCCTGCTGGCAGCAGAAACTTGACTACTTGTTGGCCTGCAGATACAGCAGCTGACACTTAAGAGATGTTTTTCTCCCTGTGAGACACAGTGGATGCAGAGACGATGCTAAGCTCAGACTGTGTCTCAGTTCAGACAGGTGTTGCTGACCTGGATGCACCAAACCTGTGTTAGCATTACGAGATGCCAGAGCTGGTATGCCCTGTCTTGTCAAAAACAGATCTGAACTGTGAACTATAGACCTGCATGGATCCTGATGTTCAAACCAGTGGGAATTCTGCTGTCCACTGAGGTGCACAATTGGATTGTTACATGATTCTAAATCCAACCTGTCTCAGATGCTGTCAGAATCTGTCTTAGAGGGAACAAGCTTGTGCTATATTAAAATGAGAGATTGGTGCTTGGGCTGCTCAAAATAATGCAGGGCACGATTAACTATCCCAGTGCTATGCCAACAGCATACAAACAGCAAAATCATCCAAGTGCATCACCGTGTCTGCAAGGCAGCAGGAAAAACTCTTCAAATGTGCCATGGAAAATCATGTCCCCATCACCTCTGTGCCCGGCAAGGCAAGGCACTGAGAGCAGGCAGGTAAAATGGAGCAGCAGCACAGCTGGAGAACAGCTGGACCTGAGAGATGCAGGAGACATTGGAAATACACTCAGCATTTTTGCCCATCTATCCACAAGGAGGGGAGGGGGTTTCTGAAGCCAAAAAGGGGAAATGCCAGAATCACAGAATGGTTTGGTTTGGAAGGGACCTTAAAGATGATTCAGTTCCAGCCCCTTGCTATAGGCAGGGATACCTCCCTCTAGAGCAGGTAGCTCACAGCCCCATCCTGCCTGGCCTTGAAAAAAGAATGGATCAGGCTTTGTTGTCCTATAGATCTACAGGATGTTTGCACCCAGACGAACACAGAGCAGAGTCAGGTCCAAAGTGCCCCAGCTAGGAGTTCATGGAAGGAAGAAGCCTCAGAAAGATTTCTGTTGTTCTGGGATGGGCTCTATGGGCTGCCCAAAGTCTGGGAGGGACCACCAAAGACATCACTTACCTCTGAGTTCCCAGAAACAGTGGGAGGGATTGCAGACAGGTTCACAACTAGCAAAAGAAATCTGAAAATTCAGCTTCACGTGCCCCAGGCAATGGACTGCTTAAGTACATGGAAGAGCTCTCATCACACACAAGAGGAAACAAGGACCAGGCAAAACAGAGGCCAGTGCTTCATCGTCTCTCAGTTAAAAAAAGAAAAGAAGAAGAAAAAAAATGTGACAGGGCTGTGCTGAGCAAGAGAGAGACCTGCTGAATTCACTTCTGTGCCTAGGAGAACTCTGTGTTCCTGGTGAATAATGCTCAGTGAGTGAGGAGCTAGGAAAAATGCCTTCTCTTTCCAGCCATATCTAGAGTAATTGCCTCGGGCTCTGTGAGGGCTGGTTGCTCTGTGGTTAACTCAGCCTCTTTGGCATGCAACTAAAATTAAACCTACAGAAGCAATCTGGACATGACAGTTTTAAAACCCTGTGCTCAGGGGAGAGGATCCGTGGATCCACTCCGATACAGATATCTGTAGGCTGTTGACTTGCAGACAGAGACGTATCTAAGGGCAGCTGACCCTGAAACTATGATATAAACTATTTCCAAATGCACAAGAAATCTATTTAAAACCTGCCCTCTAACACAGCTCTTTTTATTTGCAGGTAGCCCTCAGCTCTGGGCAGTGTTCCACACTCTCAGGAACTGCAGCACCTCAGGCAGTCGTGGAGCTTTACTTCTGGGTCGCACTACACAGACTGCATCCCTCTCAGTTATTTGGATGCCAGAATTCTGATTCCCTGCAGAAGAATAGGTTTGCTCACCCTTGACAGGCAGCAGCTGCTGGAGCATAATTCAGCAGCTGGTTTTAAACCAGCTTACAGAGAACAGCTAACAGACACTACCTGGAGCAACATGAATATGAGGACTAGTGCTCACATCTTGTTGTCCTTTTTGCTACACAACCAACTCTTCACAACACGTTCATCTTTCCTTAGGCACACCTACCAACACTGTTCCTACCCTGTGCCCTAAGGTTGCAGAGCACCTGCTGCTGTAGCATGGGAGTATTCTGGCAGAAAGCTGCTGAACACAACATTGCAAGCTCCTTGAGGAGACAAGACAGCAGACAGGGAGGCAAAATTTTTTGACATTGGAAATACAGAATTATAGAACAGTTTGAGTTGGAAAGGACCCTTAAAGGCTATCTGGTCTGACTCCCTGCATTGGACAGGGACACCCACAGCTCCACCAGATGCTCAGAGCCCATCCCCTGACCTTGGCTGTCTGCAGGGATGGAGCATCCCCCCACTTCTCTGGCAATAACTGTGCCAGTGCCTCACCACTCTTATCATAAAAAGCTTTTTTTCTTATACCCAGTCTAATTCTCTCCTCTTTTAGTTAGAAATCATTTTTCCTCATCCTACCACAACACACCCTGCTAAAGAGTCTGACAGGTTAGTAGTTCCCTTGCACCTAACCCAAGCAATAAGTCTAACAGGATCCTAGGCCACATCTGCTATCAGCAGGGTTGGATTTCCTTTTGCAGAGCTTACCAAGCTTTGGAACACTTTGTTCATGGCTATTGCAAGGACTCTCATATTTCAAGGTCTTTATCATGAGGAACTGTTGTCTGCAGTACCAGGAAGGTACAAAGAGCTGTGCCTTCCACTTCGAGACAACTGAGATACTTTACTGAAATCCAGTGGGGAGGTAATAACTGCGAGTTAGTTTCTGAGACCACAAAATTTAATCTCTAAGGTAAAGTGTGAAAGGTAAGAAATACACAATTGACAGTCTTAAGAAAGCCAAAGTAAAGTTGAAGACTGAGACTTTTATCCTTCCAGGTGGAATTTAATTTTTTTTAAGAGATAAAAAGCAACAGTGGCTCTACACAGCTTTACCAGCCTGGGGCAGCTCTCTGCCAGTCACTGGCATCATCATTGGTCTCTGCCAAGATATCATCAACACTGTTTGTTCTGATCCACTGGGACTGTCTGTGGGACAGAATGTCATTTGTCTTCAAAGCCTGTAGTGAGGGACTACATCCTCCAGAAATACAACCTCCTCTGGATCTGAGGCATGCCTGGCACCGTTATACAACAGGCTTTACTGAACAAGAATTACTCCACAGAAATAAAAACATCAAATGAAGCAATAAGAAACCTTAGAAAATGCAATTTGAAAAAAATAATAACAAGGACCATATCAAAAACACAAAACAAACTGTTAACCAAGCAGTTGACCAGCCTGGAAATTAACCCTGCTGTGAGAAAGAGGCTGGATTACACGACCTCCAAAGATCCCTTCTAAATTTCTATAACTCTGAATTTAAAAACTCCAGATGATGTTTTTCAATTCTTTAAGTCATCAGAAAACCAAGCACTCATCCTGGAGAGAGTGCCACAGCCAAATCCCAGCACAAAGAGCTTGTCCAGCTGTAATGCAGCACAGACCAAGCAGGCTGGTGCCCATGACAGTCAGTACTTGCCAGCAGTCACTTCTCCCTGGGATCTGAATTCTCAATACATCTGGACTAGGAAATGCTCTGGAACGTGCCCTTCCATCAGCTCTAGCACCAGAGTCCTCCTTGCACACTTCACAAACGCAGCTTCACATCCACGTGCAGAAGATCCTCTGGGCAGGTACACATGTCCTCAGACCTGGCTGAACTTCATCAGCAGCTGGGGAAATGTACCTACTGTTAAAGCATGCTCTTATTACTCACTGCCACAAATGTTTTGCTCAAAACTTGGCTCTGGGGGATGCCAATCAACCAAATGCAGATGCTCTATCTGTGGGGATATTTAGTCTCACCTTCTCCCTTATTTGCACTGCATTTGTTGTTACTTCACCCCATACCCAGAAGCCAAGCTGACGCTGTTAATGTTCTCACCAATATCCAGAAAGAATCTGAATGAAGGCATCGTTAACATACAAAAGCACTGGGTTTTCAGAGAAGCACTTAATTAAGTGCAACCATTCAATTTCAGTCACGCTGATTTGACAGAAATGATAAATGTAGGGCCAAATTATATCTCAGATCTTGGAAAAAGCAGCCAAGGGAAAACTCTGGCCCTGCTACACTCCAGCCCTGATGGTCACAAATTGAATTCCTTATGTTCTTGGTGACAGCTGTGCTGAGCCCTCCATCAGAGGGAACAAGGTATGGGCCACACATTGTAGATATCTGGCAGAACAGATCACTCTGCTGCAGTCAGTAGTACTGTATTCAAAGCAGCTCTACAGTGGAGTAACAGAATAAAGTCCCACCTCAAAACTACCCTGTGAATACTCTCCCTTCACAGACAAGGTCTGTTATATTGTGACAAGCTGAATTTACCTCCATCCTTTAGAACAGCTTCTACTTCACTGTTGGATGAGTAGAATAATGGAAGTGGAGGAGGAATAGTCAAATTAATTGCCCCAGGAAGAAGCAGCAATTCCAAGCCCTAAGATATGGCTTTAAGTACCAGCCAGGGTGGAACTGAGCCAGTCTGGTCCTTCCGCAGTCTTGATGGTTGGACTGGATGACTTCTTTGGGTCCCTCCTCCAATCTTGAACTCCTGTGCTTTCAGACTGGCTACTAAAAAGGAATGGGAATTTCTACATCTGCACTGATGCAGACTAATACTGTAGCAAACACTATGTATTCCTGCAGCCTTTGCACTTGAGGCTGGGAGCTCGAGTGCAACTCGCAGCCACGTTGCATATGGAAAGCCTAGAGTCAGAGTTGTTCTCCCTAGGCTCTTGCAAGAGAGAGGGACAGTTATTTCCATTCAGAGCTTTACAGAAGGGCAAAACCTTCTGTAAACAGCCTCTCCCCAGCACGACAGCCACTCAGCTACGCCAACTTGCTCCTCAGAGTTACAGGCAGAGGAGAGCCAAGAGCCCACCCTATGCAAAAGAGCAGAGAAAGCTCCAGAGGTGTTCATCCTCCTGGCTGTGATCCAGCAGGAGGGGGAGGAAAAGACAATTTTCAAGCTGCAAACCAGCATAGGGAGCAAGCCATCTCCTTACCTTGAAACATCTTTTATTCTCTACAGCTATGAGTCGTTTTGATTGCATCTTACACTAGCATTCTGTCAGGAGAGATTAACCGTCAGTGGAAAACTGATCCAGGCAAGAACACAAATTATAGAGATTTTAGATAACAGCAAGATTATAAGCAAATAATTGACCTTTTCAACTCAGTGGAAAAAAAACTCTCTAACGATCAATTATCCATTTATTCAAGCATATGTCACTCATCTGCTAGCCTTTTAAAAATCATTTTTGAACGTGATTTTCTGCAGCACGACCTTCGTTCTGTCTTCTGACACCCTGGGTCAAACTGAGAAGTGCAGTGATTTCAGTCCTCAGAGATCAGGCTGCTTAAAAGTGATATTGCCACGATAAAGCCTACCTGAATTTTTTGATTGGAGACTGCTTCTCTTGTGCAGTTGCAAGGTGCCCAGAATAATAAATGGGAAATACCATAATGTTCCAGTTTGTTGAGAACCAAGTCATGAAAAAAGGACAGTCAAATGTCTCATAGGTGATTTTGACAAACTGCGTTGTCCCAACCCAGGAGGAAGAGACGGACAAAATGATCAGAAATCTCCAAATGAGCTTAAGAAACGTGGATGTGCAAGACTGGCACCGTGTCTGTCCCTCAGCTTCTTGGCTGCTGCTCTCCGTGTGCGTTTGTGTTCCTTCTTCTCCTGGATAAAAATAATACAGGAAAAAAAAAGAAGAGTTGCACACATCATTAATGCATTCTAAACAATTCTTTGCAAAATCTCGCTTCGTGATCCAGCCACAAACCACGCCGTGCCTTTTCTCATTTAATTCCCACATGTCCCACAAACACCAAAATCCTGCTCAGAAATACTTCAACAATACTATCTTCAAGAGAATAGGAACAAAAGATAAACACAATAGAGGCCGGAGGTAACAGCATCATGGTTAAGCTGTCTGCTTTATCAGCCCTCTTCCCTTCTGTCAGCCAAACTTCCAGAACACAGCTACATCTCTTGGAACCAGCTACATTATAAAGTCAATGACTCTGCATGTTTGCAGCATAAAAGCTATCCGACCCTATACATCTGGAGCCAGAAAATGGCTCTTATTATTGAATATTTTAACTCAAAAATCACTGTTTTATTTGAAACGTGAGGAATAAACAGTCTGGTGGTTTGATGTTTCAAGGCAGAGACAGGGATTATTTCAGTCAAGTTTCTGTATTTACACTTTTGAAGTTAAAAAAGGAAACTGAACAAAACTGAAGCTTGGCATGCCTGAAAATAAACCTCTAAAGATAAGCAAGAGGGAATCAAAAAGTTGCCATGTTTCATTTTCGTACAGTACTTTTCAGACCTAATTTATAAATCACTGGAACCAGCACTGCGGAGCACCAAATCCCACTGACTGATGACTGGCTCTCCAGACTTACTGATGCAGCCCATGAACCCAATTGTGATTGCACAGATCCCAGCTGAAAACAACGGATCCGACTGCAGCAGCAGCTCTCTGCCTTCATTTATGCCCATGAGCTCACGCAGCACCAATGAGCTCTGATATTTACCACGTTAGAACATACCACGTAGTTTGACACAAGGAACAGGAGTTCCTTCTGAAAACCATGACCTGCAGCTATTCTCCACTGTTAGTAGCTGCATCAATGCACTGTGATATAGTGTAAGAAACTACAAAGCTGCTGATGCTAAGGGGAATTACAGATGTGAGAGCACCCACACGTTTTTCTATGTTCAACCTAAACTCTCCTTCTTTAAAGGAGAGTTCTTCTTTAAACCTAAACTTTCCTTCTTTACTACTGTTTCTGCTACAGCCACAAGGAAATGTAAAAGTGAGGTTTTGAGTTATTAAATTAGACTGACATTCTAAAACTGACTCATCATAACAGAGAGAGTAAAATTTGCAGTCAAGAATTTACGTAGCTGGGACATGAAGCTTTTTGTAATTGTGCGGTGCATTTTTTCCCCTTAAAAATAACAAGTATTTAGCTGCTCCACTGTTTAGTGATGAATCAAGAACTTAAATAAAATTACAGGCTGATTTAAAACATATAGATGATAATCAGACAGAACTCTGAATAGAAAAGCACCATCATAGCATTATCTTCAGCTACTGAGAGAATACAGATCTTTTGATAGCACTAATAATGACTGTTATCTTCTATTAAAAAGTAAATTACAGTTTATTTGCAAGTTAAAATGGTTTAGAAAGAATATATCTCATAACATCCTCTTAGGGGTTTTCCTGCTAAGCAAAACTACCATGCAATTAGTCCTTCTTCAGCTAGCAGTGAAAGCAATCACACAGTGATGGAACACTAAAGCACCTTTACCTACACATTACATTTTCCAATTACCAAATAACACTGTAATTGCTGTTACAATGCATGACACTATCATTAGCATTTGACTTGGTTGTTACAGCACCAAATGTTGGGGAAAGGCACAGAAATACACACTTTTTACATATCCTAGCTTGATTTAAAAGACCTGTGTGAGATTTAGCCTAATTAAACATACAGTAGGGAGGTTTTGTAAGTGCTTAATTGACAGGATTCACCCCAGTAATGTAGTTAGCAATTGCTTTTCGGGCTAAAAATGTTGTCTAGGCTCCCTCTACACTAGGTGAGAATGGACAGGCATGTTGAGAAAATGGCTGATCTCATCCTCATGTACCAAAGGGAGATGGGATGTACGACCCACTGGAGGCCCTTATCTTGCCTTAGACTACATGCCTACATGTAAAGTGAAATCTCCAACCAAAGTGGCACAGTAGCTTGACAATTGCTTTTGAAATCCACGAGATGCTTATACTGAAAACTTGGTCAAAGATGCACAAGGCAGAGATAAGAAATATCTTTAAAAGAATCACAGGGCTTGAACTCAAAGAGGGTAGGGACATATGGAAAGCAGACACACAATTCACACTAAAAAGGTTGGAGAACTTCCAAGTGATGAAGTTGGGTCTGAACTGAGCTGGAAAGTAGAATTTGAGTCCAGATACTGAATGCTGTGCTGAGAAGAAAATAAATTCATGAGCCAAAGTGGGGGCAGATAGCATTTTACAATTAGAAAGGTCATAGAAATCCTTGGTGACTTACTTCAGTTTGAAGCTAACCAACTGACTTAACCTGTCAAGAGCATGGAAGCAATCTGAGAACTCAGAAAGGATGAAAAGAGAGGGACAGAATGCAGGTGACACATGCAGATGACTCTGGCCAATGGCAAACTGTGCTGAAAGTCAATGACCAGTAATATCCTCGCATGCTCCTTTTGTCTGTCAGTAATGTAACTTATGTATTTGATCTCTCTGTAACAAGAGGAACAATCTTTTCCTCTTGTTTTCAAAAGAATGAGATAAATAAAATCAAAACCTACAGTTTTTCTTCCGAACTCTTAAGTATTTCATAACTACATCCTAGAAAATGATGTTCTTTATATTTGTTCACCTACCTGTCAGGTCACTCATACTTAGACCTCATCGATGAGGAAGATCTGGATAAAAAGGGGGCCAAATAAACATTTGGATGAATATGATGACACAGTATTACTCTTTTCTCAATCGAGCTACAGGTCCTTTCTTAACAAAAGATAGATTCTGATTTGGATGTACCCTTGTGCAAGTAAATATGGAGCTATTCATCCTAGTATCTGCAAAACAATGAGAACAGATGATTGGTTTTCTAGTATCTTGGGTAAGATCTTCATTGCAAGAAGCCACTCCTTGCTGCAGTCATCGCCTTTAATGTCTTTCTGAGGGTTTCCATCAAAAGAGTACTCCTGGAGTACAAGATTCCTCTGTTTTCCATCCAACTCAAGGCAGAAAATAGCTGACTCTTGCTGCCATCAGTGATGAAGTGACGAGATAAAGGTTCATCTCCCACAGTTCCAGTGTGCAAGGGAGATCCAACCTGCTCTTCCTCTCCTTTTTGCTCACAGTATCTACATATACTGTTTTCCAAGTACTCGGTACAGTTACACTATTTCAGTCATTTAACTGCTCTTTCCTCATCAGTACAATCCAGCACACTCAAAGGTCTCTGGCTGCATCCAGCAACTGCTCTCATACCACCCCCGTTGATGACAGATGGACACCATGGTGAAGAAGCCAGCGTTCTCCATACGTACAGGTTCATCTGAGCTAAACTTCTGCAAAAAGCGTGTGACACATTCCCAGTGGAAGCCCTGATGTGCAGCTGCTCGATGATCTGAACTGTGATGGTCTTTTCTAGACAGCCTTCCACTCGTCGCTCCTTCTGTTCATCTTCATCAGACTGTCCACCGTATGAGCTGAGATTGTCATTGCCTTTGAGAAGGTAAATGGCTGGTTTTAAGGGTCCTGGTCACTGGCCAGGCTGAAGCTGAGGAAACACAACCACTTCATAAGACTAACCGGCACGCTAATGTTAACCATCCTTCTGTGCCAACAGGATTTCTCAGATAACGCGTTCTATGTTCCTACTGAGGCCCAGCACTTCCTCTCCCATCCTTGCTTCCTTCTTGCCTAACCCCAGTCTGCACACAGGTACAGGAAGGACTTTCACAAGGCCATGCAGTTTGCAGCACCGAAACCCAACGTCAGCACTCTGCACCGTCTTTCCAAAAACCAGACAGGAGAGGCCTTTAGCAGGCATGCTGCGACACCGGCAGCGCGGCCGTTATGCCTACCTGATCTGCTCTGCCTCTCGACTCTGCTGTGCCGACAGATTCCCGAGGGACTTCGATTCTGCAGCTCAAGAATGGGAGCAGCAGAATCTTCAGCCACAGATAGAGGGGAGAGCTGCCTAGTCATGCCTCTGTGTCTGCTGGGGCAGTTGCCTCCTGGCTTGCATTGGATGACAGATGATCGTGAGGCACCTAAGAAGAAAGAGTTTGCATCAGTTTGGCTGTAAACTCCCTGCAGGAAAGCCGGGCTTTCAAACACTGTCAGCAAAATGCATACAAACGAGTCAGTGGGAGAAAGGAAGCACACTGCAAAAATCAAGGTTTCAGCTGTGGTCAGAATAAAGTAAATAAGTAAGTAAATACTTAACTCTCTCCCCCCTTCAGATAAATGCTGCTGTACGAAAACCAGTCTTTTCCCTGAAGAAATGAGAGCCTTATGCTGCAGCATACTCTCAGCCGTGCAGCTCCATCCACAGGGTCTGAACAGTCAAAGGAATCTGTACTCACGTGGGCCCCTCCTAAGCAGTGACACTGAATCAGGCAAAAGGAGAGGTCACCATTCCCCATAGGACAGAAAGAAGGGCTGAGGAACGACTGGAGTTGGTGCTGAGAGCCTCTCAAGGCAAGAGCTTCCCCTTCCATCCTTCAGAACCACTCTTGAGACTCTTGAATTGGATGAAGCCTTGCTCACTGATGGGTCGTTAGCATGCAGGCATTTGCTAACTTACAGAAGAGGTCAGTTTGAAGGCTTTAAGTGCACCGCGTCATAATCTCTACATCTTCATGCACGTTGCTTTCTCTTCTGTTGCAAGGTGCAACCACCCCCAAGACACTGCGTGTCAGAGGGAGACTTTACAAAGGCAGTGAACGAGCCCCAGGTGCCAGAAACACCGGCAACACCAGATGAGAAGTTTGCTGGTGAGAAGGATACAGCACTTTACAAGTAAGCGCTTGAAGGACTGGACTAAGAACCAGAAAGAAACAGAACAGAGCAGGGTGCTGGAATCTGGCCATCTGGCACATCCTCCCAAACTTACTAAAGGCGTCTGTTGAAGAGGTCAGCACGTGAGCAGCACATCAGTTTTTCTTCTGAGTCAGTAAGCCAAGATGACGGGCTGTTTTTGATAAGCGTGTGTGTTCATGGTCTGCTGAGATCACCCACCTCTTCTTTTGCAGCTGCAACTTCAGTTGGTGACCACTTCACCCAGCGTGACACAAGTCACACATACTCAGAGCAGCCACTGATTTTGCCATGATTTGGAGGCTTTAATACAACAAACACTTGCCTCATGCTGAAAAGCACAGAGAAACCGCCATAGAACTCATGTGTAAGATGCTAAATGTGCAACAAATGCAGCAACAACCTCCTGGAAGGCAACACTCTTCATTACAACATGAGCCACTTCAGTGCGCTTGGAGCAAATAACTCCACACCAGATAACAACATGGAAGCATTTCCTAAAGCATGGATTGTATTCAGAATAACAGAGGAATCAAGTCAACATTACTGCCAGAGGAGGCTGAGGTTCATATAACTACACATGAATTACAAGTTGTGTTTGATTCACCTGCTCTCACGACAAAGACCACAAAGGAGACATTTAGAACACAGTCTATAACAGTATAAACACTGAAGCTGACTTTGAAGGACCAACACCTATATTGTTTCTAGGCAATAGATTGTTTCTCCTCTTTTTTTCTTTTTTTTTTTGTGAGCATCAGAGCTTTTTAGAGCCTACAAGACATTTTCAAACCCTTAAAACGTTTTTCATCTTCATATATTTCCTTCTTAATGGAGAAAATATTGATCAAATAGCCACACAACTCTTCCCATGACCTTGTTCTGCTCATTTCACAAGTCTAAGCCTTGCTCTTCGCACTCGTCACCACCACTACCACCACATCACACCTTTATTCGACAGCTGAAAGTTACTTCCTATCTCTGCAAGGTTAAGACAAGCAGCACCTTCTGGCCTAAATATCCAGAAAGGCACTTCCAAATCTTCCAGTCCTTAGGGAAGTTTTATTTTCACTTGCTGAGTGCCTGTCCTCCACCACCAAAGCGCATCGACCCAAATCACTGCTCACTTTGATACACATCATTTAAAGAGATTTCATTACGTTAAAAGGCACATGCTACATCTCAATTCATGTAATTTAGAGCAAGCTCAAGATTCACGTTATACTCAGCAGAAGTCTACCAGATGATCCGCAGCCAAAATTTCAAGGATGCCTGTTTTTCTCGTATGCAAAAAGAGCTCAAGAGTTATTTATATCTGGTACAATAAAGAAACACCAATCTTTTCCTGTACATTGAGAAACTCAGCAGCTGAGACCAAAACTGCAATTCAGGAGATTGCATTTAATCGAAAGTCACTGCTTGATATAGTGAGATCTCCTTTTATATTTGAAAGCAATCAGATAGCACAGCAATTTATCAAAATTTCCTTGTTACAGCTGGAAAGCTTGGGCCATTGAATGCTACTGAATCTGACCATATTTTAAAGAGATTCTTTGACAGGGAAGGTGAAGAGAAATATGCTGGGCTAATTTCTCCAACCTCAGTATCAGCTGCAAGGACAACAAATCACCATTTACAAAGCACTCCAACAAAACCTTGCACGTGTGCTTCTAACCCATGTGTTAGAGCAAAGGAAAATGGAATGCTGTGTAATTAATTCCCATTCTTTGACTCACACAATAATTACTGGCGCTCAAGAAGGGATCCACTGAGACCCACCAAGCTTAGACAGAAATCAAGAGCAGCATTTCCCACTGAATTTGTGCACACGTGAATCCCACATGCCTATGGAGACCTTGGAGCCTCAGGAGGTGAGAGCATGACCTCCCAGAATGGACAACAGGAGGGTCCTACCATAACACGGCATGTGAAAATGAAGGAACAGCTAAAAAGCTCCCAAGATACACTTCCACCAGAGCAAAAGTGGAGCAGCACTGTCAGGGTCACAATCTTTTGACTTAATATAGATGTAAACCTTAGGATGAATGCCTGTTATAAGAAAGAACAACCATCTTGAATGGAAATATTCCTGCTGGGTCAGACTAGCTACTAAACTATTTACCTGATTTTTATTATTTTTTTTTTAACTGAAAGAAAAATCTTGCCAGAGTGCTGGATCTTGCTGCTAGAAGAGTTCCTTGACTGTTTGGAGCTTATAATCGAGTGCCAAAGTAACACTCAGCCCATTCACTTGGCAAAGGAGGGAATGGAAAACAGGAAAAGGCTGCACAGGATTGTATCAAGCATTTAATGAATCAAATCCATCTGGGTGACTTTCCATTATGGATAAAAGCTACCCCACACTCTGCCCCATTTTTTAAGATTATTATTTATTCTATATCAGTCAAGTCTTTTTTTCTCCATCCTAGAAATGCAGACACTTTACTTTAGGAAGTAAACAATTTCTCTATATATGCAGACTAAAGGAGTCCAGCAAGAACATGTGGCTTTCTACATGCTTCTATCAGAGTCAGTCCATGTCTTGTATTAATTACTATATATTTATTCCTGTGTCATTCAATTTAGCAAGGTAATTATGCTTGTGACTAACCTAAACCATGTGATTAACATCACTGAAGCCCACGCCTTTCCACGTTCTGTAACACTGCTCTGAACCCAGGCTGATGGAGAAGGTGAGCCACCAGAAGCTGCTGCTGTCTTGGTTCCAACCAGGAGCCAGCAGCACGTGGCTTGTGCCCCCAGAGCCATTTTCACCATGCATCTATAACCTGCACACAGCTCCCTCGCCTCTTGACTCTGAGAGATGTGAAGCAAGATTTGTGGCTTTCCATTTATACACAGACTTTCACGTGCAGTTCACACAGTGAGAATATTTGCCCCTCTGTGGCTTTGGGGCTAGACAAATCACTGTTATTATGCAGGAGAGCAGGGATTTTGCTTTGAGATTCAAGAACAGTGATTTTCAGATTAGTTTTGTGTGTATACAGCATATTCACTGAGTGACAATACTGCTTAGAATATCAAAAAAGATGCCATTCTGCAAGGGACATCTTTTCATCTTTTATGGCCTCAACGTTGCTACTAGTAACAAAGTGAATGGACTACCAGTAAAATAATAAATTCATTATAAAATTGTAGCCCTGGGAATAACTTTAACGGCCTCATCATCAGATAACTTATTTTTTTTACCTTTCTTTTCTTACCTCAACAACTGCCCCAATAGAAACGGAGAACCTCTCAAATAGATAACTGAATTCTTTTCCATAACCTCTCCATGTCCATAATACAAAGTGTTTACTAATTTGGAGACAGCAACATCTCCCTTGCTGGCATGTGCTTTGTTGGTTTGCTGTTGTTTTTTTTTTAATTACAGAACTAAATTGATGGCTAAATGGATGACATGCTTCTGAGCTGGAAAGTTTCTTTTGTTTTCACAGTCCTACAGAGGAGGGAGGGATCATCCATAGCTATCACTGCAATCAGGCAGTAGGCGAGCTTTGCCAGAAAGTCACTCAAGGCATTTACAGTCTTCCTTTTACTCATACAGCATTAAAATCTGTTTATTCTACCGTGTCCTCAAAATCTCAGCTCCTAATATGTCATTGTTTGTGCACTGACAACATGATGTCTTCACGCCACTGCCGCGGAAACAATCGCTGAGCTTTGACAGATGGATGGAGGTAGAAGCCAGGCTGGTGCTATGCGAAAAGTACGTCAATCGAATGTTCCTGCTAAATTGGGCACCAGTGAAAGAATTGACAACGCTTCCTTTGTGTTGCAACCTTACCTGCTGGTGAGCATCCGCTGCAGTGAAGGAGAAGCTCACACATCACCAGCCCACCGCTTCCAGCAGCCCGTGTGCACATGCTCATGTTGGTAACAGCACACAGCCATGAGGGCTGGAGATTCTTGCAGAGAAATTCTGGTCCTAACGTTGTGCAGTAAGGAGAAAACGATGTAAAACTTGTGGCTGGAGAAACATCGGATGAGCACGACTCAAAAGAAATAGGGACTGAGTGGCAGTGCCATTGTATAGGAAGACAGCTTCTTCTGTCGATTTTATAACAAGAAAACCTCATTAGAGAGCATTAGCTATGGCTTTAATTGGATTGTTTGCCATTGCTACCACACAGCTGCGGGCAGGGCTACCTAGTGGAGTCAGGTCCACAGTTTGTTTAATTTCAGCCAAAGGGACTCAGTGTA